GTCGAAACATTCTCAATTATAAACAACACGGAGTGAAGTGTACAATCAATAACGCCCTACTTCCGAACTACTTATTTTCAGGGATAATTATCCATGACGACCCAATTAACACTAATTTAGCTAACTAATTCATAAAACTAAAACTTGCCTTTACCAATTTCCTTCGCATTACTTAATTTCCCAAGCAAGGCTTTTGTCTCAAATATTTTATGGCTGCATCTAACGTCTCGTTAGACTGCCTACGTACCCTAAACAGGGATCAAGCCATTCGTAGTTCATATAGTACTTCAAGCATTCACAATAATTATATATGAAAGTAATATTCCTAATCAATTTAAAAGTGTCGATAGAACTCTCAATAATATGTACGATAAAAAGGAAAAGATGCACTCACCTGGAGTTCACGCTATGATTCTCTAGCGCACGCATCGAGGCGTCCTGAATGATTGGTCCCTGTGACCAATTATTAAATCACATCTCAGAACTCTTATCCGTAGAATATGTAATTCACATAAAACACAACCTCAACGACATTCTAAAATGGTTTGAGACCCATTGACCACAAGTCAACCGTCGATCAAAGATCGACGGTAGGGTTTACAACCCTGTATAACTTGACCCGGAAGATCCGCATATCAGATTTCCAATCCGCAACTCCCAACGATCCACAATATGTTTCTAGAATAACATATTAAAATTTCATTACGATCCAACGGTCAGATCTCCGCCAATTGCCTAAAACAAGTGGCCGTGAACATTTATTTTACTAACTTACAAATCCAATTCAGGAAGATCCGTAAGTCGGATTCCCGATCCATAAATTCCTATGATCTTTAAATATTACGTATTATAATGTATCCAGTTTTTGTGACGATCCAACGGTCGGATCATCGATTCACATTTTTATCAAGTAACGTATCGTAACGAATTTAGGTTCCAACTATCAACCTACGTCATTCAAATGAAAAAACTGAATTGAAGACATTTGACATAGCCTAAAAATAGCATTGGCGGCCCACTGGCTACGCGCCGCCGCGGGTGGTAGTCAGCCGTCCCGACTTGCTGGAAAATCCAATTATTTCCAAAAATTCTCAAACTTCACAGAAATGAAGATCTCAGTGAGTGAAGCAACTTTTATACCTGACACGAAGTCCAAAAGTGGACGGAAGATGGTCAATTTTGCCCACAAAGCCGGCGGGTGCCTAAAACTTCCCGACGTCGATTCGTCGTCTACGGTGGTCCAACGGGGTCAAGGTTGGTTGGGTTTTGCTCCTGGGATGATGAGCTACAAAGCCCAAGTGGTGGCATCGGCCATCGCTTTGCCGATTTGCCGGAAAATCGAAAAGGGTGGCCAGAGCACCATTGATTTTCGTCAACTTTCGTGGCCTCAAACCGCCACATACCATGGTTAATCAAGGTGGTTCTTGGGTGGGTTTTGTAGAGGGGAATGAGAGCTTCAAGATGGTGGTGGTGGCATCGAAAAAATCCACCAGAGTTGGCCGGAATCGACCTTGGAAGATGGGTGGTCGCGGGTTAGGAAAACCCACGGGAAAGCTGGGTTTTTTTTTTTTTTTTTTTTTTCTTTTCTTCTTTCTATTTCTGATTGGGCTTCATCTTAAATAACCAATTTCTGATTAGGGATTTAATTTAATTAACACTAAACCTTGAATAACCAATTTCGAACGTCCGTAACTATACCGTTATAATCCGGACTCGCAAACAGTTTTCGCCTATGCGTTCACATCCACGAGTATTACGAGAATATGTTAAAAGAATAAGTCAAAGTCCTTGCCTCTAGGGCAATTTCGTAAATTCACGCTTTTAAAATAAAATAAAAACGTAAAATTTGGAACGGGTTGTCACATGATATATGAGTAAATGTGTGGAGAAAATTAGGAATGAAAAGAATAGGGAAGAATGTGTAAGAAAGATGCACAAAATATAAACTAAAAATTTAATTTAATTTAATTTAATTTAAAAATAAAAAATAAAAAAAAAACTTCTTAATTTGAGTTATTTTTATTTTCTAGATTTCAATTTCATTCCTTCTTCTTTAGACGTGAGGGCTCAGCTTGTACTTGAACTTCGTTGTGTGGTACTACCAACCACTTATCCTTAAATTTATCGTACATAATCTTTCTTCTAATTGACATACACGGTTAGATTCATCTAATTAATGACCCATATTTTTTCGTATTTTGTTCCCATTTTTCTTTTCTCTCAGACTTCCCCTTCACCGTGTAGCAGTCGTTCTTCCCCAACTAGGTTTTCTGTTCCCAAAAAGTCTGTAGAAACATTATTAAGAAAGGAAAAGCCATTAATATCATATTCAACCCATTAATCATTCCGACCTTCCCAACAACTCTCAGTTGTACCAAGGCACCAAAGTTTCTCTGCCACGTAACTCATTATTTGTTCGCGGGGTGATAATGAAAAAGAAATATATATGTGCAGGATTTTTCTTTGTGCCTACCATATCTTCTTCGTGTAATTGGTGATAGGACAATTCTTTCACGTACATCATTAGTTACTATCCAATCAATGTAATCACCAACCATCTATATAACTGCTGCATACATAATAACCAAGGAGTTTGTAGTATAATAATAAGAACACATAGGATAACATGAAATTTGTCGGTGTCTATATGTAGCACAAGCATGTGAGTAAGGTAGTTGGTCAAGATCAAATTGTCAGTATGTGCAACTCTTTTCCTCTAAATTCATAACTTCATTACGAGATCTCTCGTATATATAAAATGAGTAAACTGCGATAGGGGATACCTACATATATATGGTCTCAAAATAAAAAAGAATAATAAAACACTACCAAAAAAGCTAAAAAATAAAAAATGATGATGGTTTGCAGTGTTTCCACTTGCTATGTAAATGTTTGCTGGAACAGAATCCTCTTCGGATTCATTTTGTGGTAATCTTAGATATCATCACATCTTAATTATTGATCGTACATCGTATGATCAATTTTTATCAAATATTATTTATGTTTAATTTCAAATAAAAAAAATCAAATGATTTCTGACTGTATAATATATAATAAATGATTAAGATATGAATCAAAAATCCAATTCAATGTTTGCTTTCCTTCTTACCAAATAAAAGCATATAAAAGTTGGTAAAAAAGAAGATGGTGGGACCCTCATAAAAGAAAACACGTTGTTAACCATTATTAAAATGCAGTGGTGGCATTTTTACCAAAAAAAAAAAAAATGAAGTGGTGGCATCAGCTTAAAAGAGGCGTGCAATTAAGAAATGATGGGACTCGGATCATCCTCTTCGACCCTGCAATTATTATTTTATTTTCACATTCTGATGCCCTTACATGTGTCCGACGAGCCCCTGCCCAGCTCTGCTCAGCCCCGCCCAAGCGTCCGTTTAATATGATTTTCGATTTTGTGACTGTTTAGGAGGAAATCACAATTGCCATCTAGCGCTTAGGCTGATTTTTATAACATTCGTATCGTTGAGGTCCTGTTTATGCACTAGACAACTGATCTTCACCATAATTAATTTTTAGGTATTAAAAAAAAATCAGAAATATCGACTAAATCTGCTTAAGCGACCGTCTAAGTTGCAACTCTAACTTAAACAAAAAGGAGAATCTTCCATTTTGCATTTTGTTTTTTCAATATATTAAAAGATACTTGTTGGATACTTAGATGAACAATCATTATATACTTGTTCCTTATATTTTCAATATACTCTAGTACTTTAATTGTCATTTTTAGTTTGCAATTTATATATCCTAATATAAAATTATAAATGTATTTTTAAGCATAACTATAAATTTATTTATTTGTTATATAATAAATTTAATTAAAATTAAAAAACCTTCTAGCCCCTGCCTAAAAGCCACCTGAGCGTCTAGGTTCCTACTTGCCGCCTGACTAGCACATTTTCAAACCTTGATTATAAAAAGGCTTTTTAGCCAAAATGACCCCTGAGATTTACATAACTTCTTAGTTTGATCCCTGAGATTTGAAATCAATAGAATTGATCCCTGAGTTTGTCTACAATCAATCATTTTGATCATTTCTTGAAAAAACTCCATAAAATAAAGGTAGAATAATAAAAATACCCTCAATTTCTGTCAAATCATTTTAGCCTGTTGTTTGTTATATTGAGGGTATTTTTGTCATTTTGATCCTTATTTAACATAATTTTTCACTGAATGATCAAAATGGTTGATATTGGACAATCTCAGTGACCAAAATGAGGAGTTGAGAGAATCTCAAGGATCATTTTAGCTAAAAAACTTTATAAGAAAGTGAGTACCATTAGGAGAACGTTATGAACTACCAAATAACTTTTCGTTTATTTGTACTTTCTTAGATTCTTTCCTATGTAAATCTAGAGTTCGAACCCTCTCTTTCTGAGCAACAAAATGAAAAATGGGCTTCGGTGTTTTAAGGTGGGATGGGGATAATGTGTCCAGCTCTTTAACCATCTAAAACCCAATAAACATTTGGCCCCACTTTAAACCATTTTTAGTTTTTAGTTTTCGATTTTGTTTGGAACACATGATAAATACAAGAAGGAAAACAAGGACAATCAAAAGCCAGGAAGGATGGTGGGAAGAAAGTGGAAAGTATGTACATGCAGAAATACACAAAACGAAAACTAAAAGGAAAATAATTTTGAGTGGGTTTTTGCTTCTCTCATTCTCCTTCATTACACCCTCCTCCCTCCCTCCCTTGCTCCACCCGTCATCTCACCACTCTTCAATCATCGTTCCTCCAAATGCATTCCCTCTATCTTTATCAATAAAGGTTGAAAACTTTAAACTAAAAACCAAAACGGTTATTAAACGGGCCTTGAATTGCCTATCTTGATATCTACACTAAATTTTAACAGTCACGTTCAGGTTGGTTTGTACTGCACAGGTAGCTCATCTCACTGATGAAAATTAATGCAACAAACCCGCACCAACATGCACGAACATGATAAACGATACGTATAAAATCCACACCATAATCAGCTCGCTGAGGAAATATGCTGTTCGCATTCAATCAAGAGGAAAGACACGCTCTCCCTACGGAGGCTTTATGTGCTTCAGCAAAAGTGCAATGATGCATAGAGAGCAAATTATTACAGAAAAAAAATGGTGCAACTCTTCTGCGACCGTTGCAGACGACAATTTAACACAACTTTTAACATTTTCTTTTGCTAATGACAACGAAACAAGCTCAGTACAAGACCTATGAGCGCAAAATTCTGAGGAAAAGAAAATTGAACCGAAAAATCAAAGCATAATCTACGACTTCTTTTTCCGTATGAGATTAGGTGGTGGCCATTTTCAGCATTAAGCGTCAAACAATAAAAGTTCTGAGGTTACTTGTAATGCTTGGAAACCTTATCCACTAGTTTATCCATGAACTGGCATTTCCTGTCAAATCCCCAGCCAGGGTTACTCTGCACATCAAAGGAACCAACTGCTTATGTAGCATTTCTCGCACAAACATTTTAGTACAAAAAAATAAAAATAGATGAAAACAAAAAGCAAACCCTAAGTTGCAACATACGAATGTTGAAAGGAATTGCAAAAAATCTTTAGTCAACAAATGTGTACATAATTGGCATTGCATTTTAATATTACGTCGTAAAGATGATTAATTCTTACTTCTACACCTCGACCGAAGGCCAATAAACAAGCGTTAAAATGTACTGACATCCTTGTGAAATGCTATTTAAAAGGAGTGTTTTCTAGTAATATCAAACAGTTTATCACTTTAACAAATGCAATGCTTCTAAATATGTTGCCTTGACTCACATATACAATATCCCAACAGAGCCTTTACAATGTATCCTAGTATATCCTAGTATACAGTCAAATCCATGTCGCCAAACTCTTCTTTACAGACAGTCCTCACAGTCTCCCACTATGCAGTGAAACAATTCCTAGAACAAAAAAACAGTACCTCCAAAACGTGACACAAGATGGTTTGACGAAAGTACCAACATAATCAACAAGCCAAAAATAAATAAATTATAATGCTATTTTTCTTGCTTATATAAGTAGAGATAACGTGTGCACAAGGAAAAATACATACCTGGAGAGAGAGTACTGCACGATCAGTGAATCGTTTTACAGATTCAGGAACCGTTGCAGGCAAAGTTTTAGCAACTCTTTCTAACTCTTCTTGTTGTTTCTTTGCAGTTACCCTATCTGGTCCACTGTAGTGATCAACAATTTCCTTCAACAATGGAACTCTTTCCATCACCTCTTCCACCGCTTCCTGATGATATCAAAGAGGCCATAGAATAAGAGACACAAATGAGCCACACACTTACTAGATCTGTAGTTTTATAATTCACGAGTACACTAGATGTTTGAAAATCACCAGACCAATTTCCATGAATTAAACAAATACAACCAGAGGCAGAAAAATAAAGTTTTAAAATTGAAAGTCCATCACTACTTACAGTCGTCTGGTTCTAACAACAGAAAGAAAATTTAAACCATAAGCATAGGTCAACAAAAGTTTAACCAACGGCATATACGAAATGTCCAAAACTATAACCAGAAAGCCAAGTACAATAGGAAGTGTCAACTTTTCTCTTTATATTTAGATAATAAAAATCCATGCCGAAGAGAAAAAAATGTCAACTTAGAGAGCAAACAGATCCGGTGATACAAGAATTAAAACCCCCACATTCTGTGTCATGGTTAAAGTCTAATCTTTGTCACTCTCACTCTGTCAACTAGAACTCCCTGATATTAAACACCTTCACTAACTATTATGTGACAGATAAGGTGATGAATTCTAAGACAAGCATAAATAAGTTTAATTTATCATATCACTACCCGGTAAAGTATAGAGAGAAAAAGAAAAGAAACAAAACAAAAAAAAAAAGATGGCGCATGTTTACTAGCAAAGAAAAGATGATAGCCAAATCAAGCAAAAGATAAATAAGATATAACATTTAAAAGGTTTCTTGTTTCAAACAAACCAAACTTCCAAAGATCAAATTTAACTACTATCGAACTACAATAGCTTAGCCACAAAAGAAGGCCAAACAAAACCCAAGCTCCTAATACAGGCATATAGCGTGACTTGTAGACAAAGATGCAGGATTTGATTGCAGGATAACAAAATCAGCAGACAAGATAACAAAAGACCAACAAAACATACCTCCCACTCCTCATGACTTTTAATACCCTCATAGGCCATCAAGAAAGGCTTCATCTTCTCAAGCGCATCCCGAAGAGGGATATGTGGCTTCTCATCAATATCTGGATTTTTACTAAAGTCCCCCATCAGAAACTCTGGCTCGCATTCTATCTGCAATCCAGAAACAAACAATGAACTATCACAACCTGTCGGAAGAATAAAATAGTTGAAGCTCATATGTTATCCAAAATTATCAACCTAAATGCACTACTAGGCTCAGTTAACTACAAAATTCTCAAATAAGCAGACAACATATTATACACAATCTGAACCAGGCTATGCATTATCTAAACTTGCTTAGCAAGCAATAAAATACATAACATGGAAGAACTCCTCACCATATAATTGGTATGCATGGCATCCACAAACGCTTCGTCCAACGGCGAAGGAAGCACTTCACTACTCACCTCCTCAAACCCTTCAACCAATTTGTTCATATTCTCAGGGCCAAGCTTCTTAGCCAGCTTCTCACCATCAGCATTGTCTCCAAGATAAAGCCCCGAACCTTTTCCTTCATCCACGTCCTTGCCTCTGTCACTCCGTCTAAAATCTCCTCTTCCCCTGCCTCGGCCTCTTCCTCTCATCCCTCTCCCTCTGCCTCTTCCACCACCTCCGCTGCCGCCACCACCACTACCACCACCCTCAGCATCATCCTTCTGCAGTATCCCAAGTGCTTTCGCCACCGCCTCTTCCCGGGTCAACTTGGGACCTCTCGGCGCGGCTTTATTCTGAGCCGGATCCTGGTCGGGTCTGGCCTGAATGTACCGGTTCTCTTTCTCAATTTTGCCCCTTGGGGCCACAAAAAGCGTGTTCACCTCCTTCATTAGGAGCTCCGGGCCCGGTTGACTCATTGGCTTCCCACGCCCGCCACCGGGCAATGGCGGGTCCGACCCATCATCCCTTCTGAAGAAAATGGGTGTAGCGGGTTTGCTGGGGCCGGTGTCAGAGGCCATCGGATCACGTGCCTGTGGGCCCGGTTGCACTTGACCTGGCTGGCCACGACCGGCTGGTGAATTGGGTTTGACGGAAGAGACGAAGGAAGAGAAGGACGACGGTGGTTGGGACGAAGCCAAGGGTCTGCCACGCCCATGGCCGATTCCGGGAGCGGACGCGGGAGTGTCAGATTTGGGCTCGTCAGAATCAGGCTGACCGGGACGTGATTTGGGGCGACGAAGTCGAACTGACGGAGGGGAGATGGGCCGCCGCGGCCACGACCTCGGCCGCCGCCGCTGTTGGAGGAAGTAGGAGAAGGGGATTAGGGTTACTTTGGAGATGAAGAGGTTGGATGGGTTGGTGAGCTTCCTGCCTATTCCAATGGCGGTTCCCCCTCTCATTTCTGCGATTTATGGGTTTTAGGCTCGGGAGATTTTTGGGGTTTAAGAGTCTTTCTGCACTACAGACGGGTGAACTGTGACTCGCTGCGGAGAATTTCATTCCGGAAGCCCCGCTTTTTTTTTTTTGTCTATCTATCATTTTTTGTCAAATGTTTATTTACACAGTTATTTTTATTTTTTTATTTTAACAAACAATACTATCTCCAATAAGTGGAGTGAGGGAATAGGCGAAGCGTTACATATACAAAAGACCTCTTACTTATTTATTTATTTTTTTTAATGCATATTTTTATATTAAGGTAAAGAGAAGTTCGGCTAAACCACACAGTAGACAAGTTAATTTGGCATCGAATTCATCATCCACGAGATTCGAACATAAGACCTCTCACTTTCAAGTGAAGAGGAATACCACCAGACTGTAGTACTGAGTGCTATTTACAAGTGAAGATAAATATCACTAGATTACAGTTTTTTAAACTTTTAATTTTTATTTCAGTCATGTATGCATTTAGTACTATAATCTACTAGTATTCATCTTCACTTGTAACTGGAAGGTCTTAGGTTCGATTAACGCCAAGGGCGAATTTGAACCATACCTAGGACGTCTCACTTACAAGTAAAAAGGAATATCACTAAACTGTAGTACTAACTGTCCAATCTCTCACCCTTTTAGTGTTGATAATATTTTTGTTCAAAAAAAATTTCGTCATTTATTTTTTGTATCATTTAATACTACTATCAAATATTGAAAAATATTATAAATTTTGTGCAAAATATGGATAAGTGTACAAGTAAAAGTTGAATTTCATATGGAACTATCCACTTGTTGCAATTATTCACATGAAAAAAAAATAAGTGAATTGTCAATTTAATTCATAAATTATCACCAAAGTGAAAATTAGATCTCTAAGTAATTTAAAAAAAAAATTCAATGATTGAATTATAAAAATCTGACAAATACATCCCTAATATTAGATTCGAATCTACTATATTCAACTTTTCGTCAATTTAAGTCACGTTATTTGCATGTGATACACATTGAGGGTGGATTGATAATTTTTCATAATGAAATAGTGTATAAAGTTAACTTTTGAGTGTAAATTAGATGATAGATTCATGATGAATCCATATTATACCATATATTTTACCATAATCTTAGTATTAATTTATTAGTTATTTTGGTAAAACTTTGATACTTTGTTATATATTTTCAATATAGAACATTCGACTTCCTCTTGAGCATAAAGTGATCAAACGGATGAATTTTGGAGTGATTCCAATTAGAGGATGTTCGTGAGTCTTTCAAGATGATTGCATCAAAGTTTCAGATTTTTCTACTGAGCCGTTTGACTGTGGCGATGAAATAAAGGCTCGGTGCGTAGCTTTTCATAATTGACTTTTTGGACATTTTTGGTATTTTGGAGGTTAAGATGGCATATTTTGAGGAAGATTCCTTCTGAGTATTTGTTGGGGACGTCTCAAGCTTTAAAAAGAGATCTTTTGGGACTAAATTGGAGTTGATTTGTTCGGTCAAAAATTGATTTTCTGAGAAGTCTGAATTTTAGGTTAAATATGAAACTTTTTATTTTCTAGTTTATTATTTTATTACGTTTCCTAGTTTTATTCTAAAACCTTTTAGGGTTTTATTTTGTAGTAGTATAAATAAGGCTTGTTAGCCATTAGGGTTCTCTAAGCAACATTGAAACAAGAGAGAACATGTGTACTACTGAGAGAGCTTTGGAAGTTTATTTTCAAGGTGTTTTCTTTTCATGTTCTTAATAATATTTTGTTTTATGATTGTTCGTAACTAAGTTCTTTTGCTATGGCGAAGCCACGAGCCTTAGCATGAATATGTGATTTTATTAATTTTCTTATGAATGGATGCATGCTTGCTTTGAATTATTAATCACCGCGATTAAACTATCTAATTGTCTTAATGATTCTCAACCATTAGGGTTTTTAGACAAGTAATTTGATGCAATTTTTGTTGGAACATCACCCTGAAATTAAGGAGGGCTTCTTGTGATTAGTAATTGTAAGTTTACTTAAGGCGAACATCATGCTCTTAAGGGTTGCATGGTTTTTCAAAGAATTTTCACAAAGCTTAATGAGTCTTACATGTTTATATTTGATCTGAACATCACACATGGGTTGCATGTTAGATATACGATTTCGCTTGAACATCACGAGGAAAATATGTATTAGGGAAGCCTAACCTTCAAAGCATGTATGTAGAAATTTATAAGTGGTTGGTAAAATTGCATAGGATTGTTAATGGTGACAGCAGAACCCTAGTGTTTAAATTGTCTTCCAAAACCTTTGTCTTTTGCTTTCCTTACTTTGTCAATTATTTAATTATTTTTATTTAAATTCGTTGTTATTATTTTAAATTCTAAAATCAACCTTTACAAAACTTTGTTCTAAATAATTAGCTAAGGATTAGTTTAAATACAAATTATTCATTCAATCCATACGGAAAATGACCTTGCTTGAGCTGCTACACTACGATAACCTTGTACTCTTGCCAGTATTTTTATCCCTACTTTTGCAGGTGGTAAAAATCCTATCAATTCGCAACCTATATGAAACGTTAAGGGCTTATAGGCGAGGAAATGACAGTGTTACACTCTAAAGTGTGTCAAGTGACTTAAGTTGACGAAAAATTGGATAAAATAGCTTTGAATATAATAGTAGGGATGAAATTAGTAACTTTTAATAAATTTAGGGACTTATTTTACAGAAAAAATAATTCAATGACCTAATTTTTATTGAAGTGATAGTTCAAAGACTAAATCGACATTTCATCGTAAAAAAATTTGTACAGCCCAAGGACCAAATTATGACAACAAAAAAAACAGGCCCAAATATTAACTAGCGACAAGGAAGCCTAGTGAAACAGAGTGATGAGCGATGAGCCCAAGTACTTGGGATGATAGTCTTTTGCAAACCTATACGGATCCAGTTTGACCACAATAGTTTGTGCGCTGCTACTTGCTAGCTATTTCCTATTTGTTCAGGAAAATACTCTGATGTTTAAGTCTCTGTAGTTTAACAAGATTACAATATAGCATAATGTCAAATCCCTTTTTCTTCTGTTTGTGATTTAATTGGTCTTTGTAATCATATTCCGCCTTGGCTTCTAAGTCTCATGTTTCTTATTTCATTCCATATTATGGGCATGATAGTGCATGGTTGGCTTTGTCAATTAACATGAACATGTTTAACTTTGGTCATGAGCATCTGACTTGCGTGCCTTGATCATGAGGCATGGTATAGTTTATCCGAGTAAGCCTTGAACATCAAGTCCCACTAATCCTCCGATTTCATTCACGAGTGATCTTAGACAGAAAGTAAAAATATCATAAGTTCACTATAGTTCATTGCCTTCCTTCCAAATTTCCAATCAGATCAGAATCTCATATAAACATATTACAAATATTAAACAAGTTTTACCTAACAATCTAAAAATTACCCATTATCTAATCATGAACTTTCTTCCATCCCCAAATTACCACAAACCCCCACATCACTGAGCTAAGCTTAACTAAGGGTAAATAGCAATTACTTTCAACTCCAAACGCTTTAACTTTCTTCCTTTCAGACTATTACTGACCAGTTGGTTTTTGCTTCCTGCAGATAGTTAAGTTGGTAACCTTGTGAAGAATTGTTAAAGTGTCTGTAGCTAATTATTCTGTATTTACAACTGCTCATATTCTGGAACAACAGAGAGACACAGAGACCAAAGATTTGCTAACTTGCAGAAGTAGGGCAACATTGGTCGTCAGATTTTGTCAAATTGGTCAGTCAGTACTCAGGACAGAGGTGTTTCTAATCTTCACTAGAATATTTGGTTAGTTTAAAGTGTATGCTTGATTATCCACTAGTTCACTCCAACACAGTTTTCTTTGACGTGAAATTTAGACATTTTAAATACCTAGCTTTGTCTTTTCTTGTTCTACAAGAAACTGTTGATCCGATACAAATTATGCTAAGTTGCTAACTAATACATATTTTTACATTGAGGAAGGAATTGAATCAGAAGCCAAAGTGATGAATTTTAAATCAATGAAGTGACATCTTGATCGTGTTATTGAATTTATTAATTATGATCATAATTAATCATTTGTACAAGAAAAATGAAAAACAATTTTCATGTTAGAGAAGTGACGTATAGGAGAAGTAACCATGAATTTGATGTTAACCTGATTAGGGACGGCGTTGCAGCCATTAACTCGTAGTGGGATATTACTTGGCTAAGATAAAGAATTATATATATAATATACGTTTGCCTTTCTGATTTGACATTGTTTAAATTAGATCTAATCATGTATACGTAAGATTAAAAGATGAAAGCCACACTTTGTTGCGAGATTGGATTGTGCTCGTCGTCGAATTGTTGGTTAATTTTTGTGGTCATGTGGAACATTAAGCGAACGTGGGTAGTCTTTAATGGTCTATTCAAAGAGTTTGTTTTTGACATGTATGAGCTTTCTAAGGTCGTTTGTCTCACATAGTTTACACGGAGCTGGCATCCAAAAAAGAATAACCTGAACATGCACCAACTTTTGACGTCTCCCATTACTTCTTTTTTTGTTGTCTATATTCCATGTTTTCTTCTTCTTGAATGCTACCTATTAGATCGTCTCAGTAGTATGATTGTCTCAAAGATTAAGTGTACGTCTAAGTATGAACTAATTCAAAATTGTACAAACTGCACCTTTAACCTAGGCTTATATTTGAAGTTTCTTAACAATTAATATATTCTATCGCTTTCTATAGAAGACAAAGTATATGATTGTTACAAAACTTCAAATATAAGCCTAGGTTAAAGGTGACAACTTTAACCAAATGATTTCATTATCAATTATAAATTAATTAACAATGCATGTGGAGCAAGACAGTATGTACAGCGAGCAACTCCATTTGGCTGCAGATCTTTTCACAATATCACAAAAGTAAAGCAGGAATGAGAACGAAAGGATTTCATATCATTAATTATTTTAGGGGGTAATGCAAGGGATATCAAATTTGTAAATCTTATAAACCAAATGATGTGGCTGTTGATGATTGTATTATTACTTAAGTACTGATTAACGTGCTTATTTTCTATTGGTTAACACATCATTTGATTTGTAAAAATTTTAAAATTTGGTCTATAAGGAGACAAAAATTGCAGTAATCAGATTAGCATACAAATGAGTTGCTATTGGTCCTTTTTATCTATATATTGACGTCCAAGACAAGGATTAACTTGCAAAAGACAGTTAAATTGTTGAAAACAAAACATGTATGCAACCACAAGAAACCTCAAATTCAGATTGAGTTGTCATTTTAGTTTAAAATATCTGGAATAATGTAGAGTGACATTAATGAATAGGGTTTGAAAGAAAGTGACGATCCTATTCTTAGAAGATAATTAGTTGTTGGGTTGTTTTAAAAACTGAGAATTCTTGTGTTTAATTAGGCTTTAAGATGTCTGTTTTTCAACAGATATTGTCTGTGTTTTCATTTTTTTATTAAATTTTGGTCAATATTTTTTTTATATACGAAGACATTTGGGAATGGACGATTTGAACTCGCCATTCATGAGATCAAACATAAGGTCATTCACATATAAATACAAAGAAGGTACCATTAGTTTGTAATATTAGTGACTCGACTAGTATTATCTGCGGTATATTAGCTACTTATGTTTTGAGTCTGTGTTCCTTATTTGTTTTAATGAGTTAATGTATGTAATTGTAAAGTCTGTCCTTTCTCCGATGCCAGTCCATATAGGCACTTAGCTTTTTCTTTTATATTTTGGTCCATTTTTTAATGATTACCTAAGCTCGTTGGGCATAATGGCGACTCCATAGTTTGAATACATTCATTGAACCACATGCATGTTTAAATCACCATGAAATAAGAAAAACGTATAGAATACTAAGGCTGCATGGTAAAGTTCTTTATCGGAGAGATTCTACTCAACATTTCCCATCCATTGGCGCAATTGCTCCCCTTAGCCCTATCCCTCTCTTGGGGTTACCTCCGGGCGCGGCAGCCACTACTTTGACTCCTATTATGCAATTATGAACTTCAAGAAACTTTTTTTTTTTGTTTTTTGGACAAACAAAGTAAATTTCATTAAAGAGAAAGCTAATACAAGGTAATGACAACTCCAAAAGAAAGTCCAAAAAAGCCAAGCAAAAGCCCAACACCATAAACGAAAATTACAATGAGAAGGGCCCAAAGTGAGCAGCCCATAGCATCAACCAAACCGAAAACCTTAGACAACCACCTTCACCAACACAGCCGCATCACCACCGCGGATCCGTCACCAACACCCGGAAAAAGGGCCAAAGAACCACATGGATGAACGGAAAATGGGGGGTAAGCAAGCTACCTGTGTTGGAAGCGCTCCCATAATCCTACCAAATAGTGCAAATAATCCTACCAAATAGTGCAAAAAACACTGAGATAAACTCAGGGACAGAGTCATAATTTTAACTCTTATAATATGTTTTTTTTTTAGTTGAGCGATATCATAAGTAATTAGATGTTAGATTAACCACTGACGATTGAACCCATGTCATCATACAAGAACGTTACTCCTCTTCACCACTATGGTAGAGAGCCACTTGCAGCTATTATAATATGTTAAAACATAATTATTAGTGAGCAATACCACTAATTAGTGGGTCACAAGACTCATAACATGATTACCATGCTTTAAGAAGCCATTGCCAGAAAAAACGTGATTACTTTCTTAGCCACCATCCATGAATGATTAATTTCTTAAATCAACAATAGATTTGATATATTGTCCCTTTCAAAAGGATGCAATCTCAGAGCATATTTACTTACAAAGAAAAAAAATTCGAATAATTCTGATTCTTGAGTTTTCTACTTTTATTAAAATAAAATTATGAGAATTATTTTGTTTTCTAACTAATAAACATTCAAAGAAAAACCCTACACATTTAAAGAAAAACTCTAGCCACCGACTCCTTGTCTTTGGTTGTGAGGTCGGCGACAATCCTTCTTGATCTCTTCCCTCTCTTTCCCATTGTGGTCGCTCTCTCGTTATGCCAGAGAGTTTTCATGGTTGTGGTAGTAGTCGCAACTTTGACATATGTTGTTCTAATTTGATTTGATGGTTTTTTTGGTTTGTGTGCTTGACAAATGACTATGAGAAGGACACTTAGTGTTTGTTGGAGGTGAGTCATTGAAGGGCTTCTTTGTTGGTGATTGCAAGATCATCAGCGGTTGATGCGAAACTTATCTCGTGGTGCCTTCAGTTATGCGACTTGCAAAGTTCAGTCCTTGTGATTAGGATTTTGGGTTTAGGAAGAAGTCAAATATGTGGCTGACGAATTTTATTCTATTTTTGATGAATTTGCAATTGTGGAATAATAGTATTTTGGAATGTGTGCTCTCTTGAACTGTACTCCAATTTCTCTTGCTCCTAGTCATTATGCCTCTACTCATTCTAGTTGAACTTAATTTAAAATATGAAGCATGAGTAAGACAAGGGAAAACACCCATAGGTAGCTTGAAAGATAAGAGCCAGTATTTGGTTTTAGCTGAGATAATCAACGTGGAAGCTTCAGTTTTTAGTACAACATAATGGCCTCTTGTTACATTCTTGGGTTAATCAGCGGTACCCTCTTCTCTCATTAGCTTATGATACATATACCTCAAACATTTATCAATGTATTTTTCTATTGTTTTGAATATTCTGATGATCACTTGCACGTTTTTGGAAACCCAACTTTTTGTATATACTTGAAGTGGAGGCTTTTTGTTTACTTTGGCAAAGCAATTTACTAAATTAACGGGAGACGTTGCTTGTTTAAGCAAGCGCATATGTTTTTGCCCGTAGCCATAGTGGCTAGAAAGCTTTCCCAATTATTGAATGGGAAGAAACATGATACAGAGAAAGAGTAATGACCAAATTTTGCAGATCTTCAATTAATTTTATTAAAGAGATTTTAGTTACTTGTTTAGCCTTAATATATTTGCTTTTTATTTGTTTTAATTAGAGTAACACTGGTGTGACATGAACATAAGCTTGACATGAGTTCTGTGATGGAGTTGTGATTAGCGACCGATGGCTTAAGAGAAGGCCAATAAAGTTCAAGTCAATCAATTAAATGTTGTTCCCTGCCTCTCATGGATGCATCCTATGTTATTATTCTGGCAATTCTCAAATGTGTTTTGGATTGGGGTCCATCGGATTCTTACTGTTTGATGAGGTCCATAATAATCCCAATTAAAAAACACAAGTGAAGATAAATTAAAGGGATCTCCCTAATGTTGCCCAAATGTTATATATTGTACATGTGGGTTTCCTCTAATTTTGGAGAAGGTGCATATCTTTATTATAGGCAAGGGCGGAGCCAGCTAGTGTCTGCTCTGGGCTCTAGCACACACCAAATTTTAAAAGATGAAAAAAAAATTTGGTGATAAAAGCATGTTACATGGTGAGAGGTAAAATGGTGTACAGAAATAAAAATAAGTGTGTGAATAACACTTCTTTTATTTATCTGCATTTTCATTTTAGCTATATGTCTGAAGAATAATTTTGGATTTGGATAATTTTTTTAGAGATAATCTTTGATTGAGAACCTAAAACATAAATGGTTCAGTCCTTAAAATGCATTATGGAGTAGGTAGTCCTAAGAAAGTTGGGTGCATTTTTTTTTACTTACAATAAGGATCCTTGTTGTAGAAAGAATATGCAATGTAATTGTGTAGCAATCAATTATGAATATCGAACATATATTATACTTAAAGGTTGCCTTGGCCTTGGTCATGCATATGTCAGACACAGTAGTATATATAGGAGTCTCTCTCTTACATTAATTAATTAATCAAACAATTGACTATCTATTCGGATTGAAAACTGACATATTTTAAGTCTGATTATAAACAAGTATATGTCTATATATAAGTAAATATATTGTGTGTAGATAATTCATTACTAATGACAAGCACAGAAACCGCCCGTTAGAGTGATGGCCTTTATTATGTATGATATACAAATGTAGATCAGGAAGAGCGTATTGAAGCTGGGTTGAGATGGGCCACCGCTGCTGCGGCAAACAGAAGGTGAAGAGAGGTCTATGGTCACCTGAAGAAGATGAGAAGCTCAGGAAACACATTACCACCCATGGTCATGGCAGCTGGAGTTCTGTCCCAAAACATGCAGGTATACATATACACACACATATACTTGATTACATTTATCAAGTTCATGAGTTTGTGAGTAAGAAAGTTTTATTTTTAGCTTGGGGTACTGGCAGGCTTGCAGAGGTGTGGCAAGAGTTGCAGGTTGAGATGGATAAACTACTTGAGACCTGAACTCAGGAGGGGATCCTTTACTCCTGAAGAAGAACAGACTATCATTGATGTTCACAGAATTTTGGGTAACAAGTGAGGATTTAATTAACCAATTTTTTGTTAATTTTTTGTCAAACAATATTTCATTTCTTAAGAATGTAAGATTAGAGGCCATCGATTATGCTCAGTTGTAGAATTACATCAACTACTATGATCAGTTGTTAATTAATTAGCAGTAGCACCGCACATCATTAATTTCAACTAACGTTATGTGAATAAAATTAATGTTCTCTCTAACATTACTCTATTCCATCATATGCCAAAAGGACGAAAGAAAAAGTGGATTCATCACAATTTGATGTTGTTTGGTTTGGTTGTGACAGATGGGCTCAGATTGCCAAGCATCTCCCTGGAAGAACAGACAATGAGGTGAAGAATTTCTGGAATTCATGTATTAAGAAAAAGCTCATGTCACAAGGTTTAGACCCAAAAACCCACAACTTGCTTCCTAATTCTCATCATCAGAGGTCGGCTTCTAACAACGCTTCAAGCAGCAGCCAATCACCACTACTGCAGTCACATAATCAACAGCAACCCGTTTCAGTATCTTTAACTGAAATGAATGCATCAACTATTAATGTGACATTATCTACTGATCAATATCATGATCATGGTCAAAACCCTAGTAATGCTTCTTGGACTAGGGTTGACGATCCTACCTTCAATGACATCACCAGGTTGCCTCATCAACAATCCACTGATCACAGCACACTGATCAATAATATTTCCTCTTCATCGCCATCTTCCTCGGTGAACCTATCAGTGTTTGGTCTCTTGGAAAATAGTAACATCTGGGCTTCTGGTACTGAACCATTTGAAGCACCAAGTTTATTAGTGGGAGAGCAGTCAAAGGGAGAAGAAGTAGTTCTACAGCAAGAAAAAAATACGCTCTTGGATCAGATGGAAATTAAGGGTATTGAGGATATGGATCATGCTTCAATATTTGAGAGTTCTAGTGTTGATTTTAGCTTTGTCGAGTCTACACTTATGTCGTGTGGAGAAATATCTCAGGATCTGAACTCTATGTGTAATTTTGCATGGAGATATTAGACTTGTTTTGCGTTTATACAATTTAACCAAGTTTTCTTGAACTTTTCTCGCCATATTTTCCAGATTTTACACGTTTTGAGGTATCCTATGGTGAGGGAACCACCTTTTTGCGACTCTTTGACCATTTTTCAGCGAATTAATCGTCGCATGAAACTTAACAGCGCGAGAGTAAGTGCCCAGAACATATACTTGGGGAGGAATTGGAATTTCAGCTAGGGAAAAATCTTTGCTAAACATATGAACATTTTACTATTGTAGTGCGCTCAACTGTTTATATTTGAAATAAATTTTGTCAATGGCTAAAGAGAAAAATCCAAAGGAAATGATGACATATACATATATATGTTGAATTTTTCAGGTCTACGGGCCGAGGGTCCCACTCCAATAACATCAATACTTCTTCAATTTGATAATTATCACATGTCTGATCTGTTAAGTGTGGAGTGAAGTTTTATCATAAAAAGTCTCGGTATTAGTTAGTTAGAACGGTTATTATATTTAATTTTTTTTTCTTTCTTCTTTCCATGTGGGATAGCCAACACGCCCCCGCACATGGGACCCTAATAATTGGGTCACACGTGGAGATGAAACTCAAAGGTCGGCTCCATGGAGTCCAAAATTGTTTGGCTTGCATGAGGCTGTAACCTAACTCTAATATCATGTTGGATTTTTCAAGTCTACGGGCCGAGAGCCCATAATTACTATCTGCCCAATCCGTTAGGTATGAAGTTTTATCACAAAATACCTTGATATTAGTTAGAGTGAAGTAATCATATTTAAATTCTTTCTTTCTTATTTACCTCACCAATCAGGGATAGCCAACAATATATTATAGCTTGACTTTTTGTAATAATCTAGCTAATTCTCAAGGAGTACTCAAGGCACCAGCTGTCCATGATTAGATATACTTTTTCTTTATAAGCAAATTCATTTTTCAATAATGTAGATTAGTGGCACCTTGGGCTTCCTAAGTAAATGTCATGAATCCCAACATGTACATTGGTCCTCATCGCACTGCTCATGTTCACCTCTTTAATGCACCGGAAAATTTTGATTGTTACAGCGGCCCAATGAAAATGTTTCCTATAATATTTCCTCGTTGAAAAATTTACATATTCATATTTTAAAGGTTTTTTTCTTTTGGTCAAACATATTCTTCAGGTTATGATATGTTAAAAATATGTAATACGAGCTTGGGCATAAACATGACTTATAATTCCAGGTCAAGTCTTAGACATAAACATCGCTTCCGTGGCCGGTACCGTCACACCTCGAGTTAGTTTTTTGTTGTGAATTTGGGTTGACGCCAAGGCATTGGGTGTGTCGGTTTGTACCCCCTCTCTCACTTCTAGTTGTATTCTCTGTTCGGTTGCCCTTGTTGGCTTTCTGCCCTTTGTGACTTTCCTCTGGTTTAATATATTAATCAGTTTCCCAAAAAAAAAAAAAAAACTTGCAGAATTGGCAGGAAGCTTTGGAATTCTGTTGCCTAAAATGGTTGATGTAGTTTGTACTTTTGAGAAAAAATTTCATAATTTTTGTAAACTGTTACTTTAATATACTGTGGATCACTTCCATAACTTAAAAGATGCATTTGGAATTAGATTCAATAGTTGTCTAATATCGTATCAGAATTACTATACAGTTCCTAGTCAGTTCAAAACCTCGATCATCATCTTTGAGTTAATTGTCCAAGTCTCATGGTTATCTAACTGGTTACTTAATTAACTACTTACTTAATTAAGTACTTAGTTTAAGTATATAATCCATGTAAATATAGTAACCATTTTCCAATGGAGAGACACGTACACTGTTCCAACAATCTTCTTCTTTCCAAATAATACCTTTACAATAATCAGCTTATCCATTTCCCTTCCCAAAATTGACCTAAGACGATTCAACACCAACATGCAAAAGGGGGGAATTAACCAATACAAGGAAAATTATGTAACAAAAAAAAAATTTATGCTCTGGGAATAATATAAAGTACTTCATTCTCCATTGTGAAGTACTTTATATATAGCCTTATCATGATAATCTCATTTCTGGCAATACGAAATCTCCACCATTGCTAGTTATTTAGCCAGTGGAACACAATATTTTAATTCTACCTTTGTGTATGAATGAATTGTAGTATGAAAATGTGAGTGTTAGTATGTATAGTACTTAGTCTTGCATGGAGAGGGCCACAGAGTTGTCTTGAGAGGAACATAAAGAGAAAATCTCTTCAAACGTTCCATTCATGCAACCCTTGAACTTGTCGTACAACATGTACTCATCGATGATTTCGGGCTTCGCTGTTTTTGTCTCTGCAGCTAAATTGATCTGCGGGAAGTCTTCAAGTTGTAAGGGTGGGTAAGGAAATTGATAGCTATTCAATACGCTCGTATTGTGTGGTATATACGTTTCCTGCATTATTTGGCAAGCGGATACAATAAATTAGTGTTTTGGTGCATACACACACATTAAGTAGACATGTATCTATGCAAAATAACATGACGAAGTTTATTGTAAACAAATTTTATATATATATAATGAATTTCATATAAGCAATTACTGGAAAGTTAATACATAATTGATTTCAAACAGCTTTTTTTTTTTTTTTTTCTTTCAAAAAAGAGAAATAGGGAAGCGCTCAAATTGTTAGGGAGATGACTAAAACTAAAAGGCATTGGGGATAGAGAAGTTTGAGAGGAGCACTTCTGAGGAAAATTAGGAAGAAAGACGTTTGAGTCAGTCAAAAGAAGTTATAGAAGTTGATGAAGAAAGCCCATTTGGATCAGTCTACTATAAAGATTTTTGAATGAAGCTTTAGCAAAAGATATAAAACTTATTACTTGCGACTTTTGTTACTTTAAGATCAAAAGAAAACTCCAATGCCTTATTTTGTGGGCCACTTCCAACCAATCATAGTAGGGTTTGCGCGTGTTTGAATGTGCCCATGATCATGATTCATTTACGTAGCTTCAACTTATAATTATATATATGGGGGTGTGAACACGAAGCCTTAGAGGTAAAGCAGATTAGCTATCTACAAAAGTAGAATATTCCCAAAATGTAGCCTTGGCAAAGGAAGCAATCATATCAGGAAGATTATAAAAGACTTTAAAAGAGCATATTATTTTGTTATAAATGTAGGCGTATGGTTGCAAAACTATTAATCTTAATGATTGATTATGTGATCAAGTATGCTTAAATATAATGTTTAAGTAATAGTTTGATAACATAATAATATACAGACTGTTTAAAAAAAAGTGACCCTGACTATTATCATATGATCCTATGACCCAACTAATGCCATTGTACCACTTCCTATCATGAGCACGTAAATGTGTTGTTCCGAAGAAATGAAATTGTACATAGTACTTTGTACAAACCTGAATTAGATCTGAGGAGCAGTGGACACCAAAAGAGTATAGATCAGCTGAACTGTTTGCTTCATCAGAAGTAAATGGAGCTTGTAAATCGTCAGCTATGCCATTTTCAGTAGGTGTGCCTTGAGTGAGATCTGAAGAAGAGGTGTCAGATGGAAATTTGGGATAATCATGGTTGGAATAATTCCCATCTTGATCAGTTTCAATCCCTCTTGAAGCTCCCTCATTAATGCCACTATTTTCTTTCCCAAACAATTGTTCATTGGAGACCCAGATTGAATCCTTGTCTGCATTGTTAATCCCAACTGGCTTTTCTTCTTTGTTATTCTGGGGCATTTGTATTGTTTTCTTGAACACTCGGCACAATGCGTAAGAATCCTGTGGTAGTTCAAAATAACCAAAAAGTTAAACATGGCATGATAAAATTACATATATACATGTAAGCATAACAAAGACGAGAACTGAAAAGCAAATCCAGAAAGAAGAGAGAAAAAAAGAGCAGAAATATATCTGATGCTAAAGTCTAGAAAAAGATACTAGCAAGTACACCTAAGTGTAGACTGAAGAGTCTTTAATCATCATGCTGATAAGCTAATTCCTTTTAGAGGACAAGAAAGAAATTAAAGCAATAAAAAAATACAAAGAGTGATATTGAAATTTGCCTTTATTCGAGTCCAAGACATTACATATGTACAAATGATGCCGTAAACTATGACCTGTATATGATGATATTTATGATATTTATACAGGAAGATGTTCATATTCAATTAATGTTCCTAGCTAACTGCTTTGTGTACTAGTTAAAGTGCATACTGGGAAGTGCTCTTTAATATGTCAGTCAAGCACTGGATTCATGTACATCTTAATTGGAAACCCTAATTAACCAATAATTCTTCTATGGTAGTTACAATAATTTGTATATAATTAAAGTTTCTTTAGAAATCAGAAACCCTAAAATCTTTTTCTCTTGGAAAACTCACCAAACCCTAATTTATAAGGGTGCAAGAAGTCTCTCTCTCTCTCTCTCTCTCTCTCTCTCTCTCTCTCCCCCCCCCCCCGAACACTAACAGTGGCATACTGTTTTTGAAACAGTTAAATTATATCCTATTCAGTGAATCAAGCAGCTAGCCCTTATTCATTGTCATTAGATGCATATTAAACCATACAACCAGTGATGTGATACAATACTTATATATACCTTTAGAGATGATGATGCATTGGCACACACAGAATCGACCAGCCGGTACTCATGCATAACCCAGTTGGTTCTAATACCATGAGGGGCTCTACCTCTATAGTACACCAATGTCTTCTTCATGCCGACAGCACGGCTCTGACTACTCACCCCCTGTCTTTTCCAGTGGCTTTCCAGTACCCAGCTCGAGTGGCCCTATTCGTTCTCGACCCGTTGGGGTACTTCCTATCCCTCGGGCTGTAGAAGTACCACTCCATGTCTTTGCTCGGAAGAAATGACTTATCTACAGTAAACAGAATATGTCAAACTCTATGCACAGTTAGAGGACTTCTGGAGTCCTGTTGTAATGAATTCAAGTGTTGAGAGTGTGAATCCTACATTGAGAAATCAAGGGATTTTGCATGAACTTATAAGGAGTTGGACTATTCCATATATTTTCAATTGGTTTTGTGATAAAACCTCAACTTTCTTCATTAATTTCGCTTGAAATTCATATTATTGTTATTACTAGAATTGTATATTTACACCACGCAAAAAAACAAAATCAAATACTTACCAGGCAGATCCCATGGCTCACATTTGTAGAGGTCGACCTCTGGGATAATTTCTAGCTCAATGGTGCGACCATTGATTTTTCGATCCAGATAGTAAGCAACAAGCTCTTCATCTGTTGGGTGGAATCTGAATCCAGGAGGAAGACTCATGGGTGCCATTGCAGCACTCTCTGAGTGTGTGACTGTGAGAGAGATGAAGTTAAACACAGAGAGAGAGAGAGAGAGAGAGAGAGAGAACAGAACACTGGACTTGAACTAATAAACTGGCTTGTGCGACAACGGACTTTATAGGCCGCTGTTGGCATCAAAGCTACAATTAACATTTGCCCTTAGATTTCCCAAGTATTACTTATATTCCTGTTTCCATGACTGATGAGATCCAAGAGAAGAGAGAATGGTTTTTTTGGTAGTTAAGACTGTGAAGTGGGGTTGAACAGAGAGGGAATATTACTATATTAGGATGGTGATATTTGGATCTTGGCTTTTGAAGAGATTCCATGTGTAAGGTTTTGTGTGAAAACCCAGGGGGAGGGATAAGAAGCTTCCCTGCTTTTGTCTGCTCACAAACCAACAAAAAACAGAGGCCCTCTCAAAAGGTTGTGTGGGCCACTCAACCGTCCATACCCTACAACACGCAATACTATGCCCTAATCCTCTATTTAATAATCCCTCTCCAATCACAAACCCTATGTATACATTACTTGATCGATCTATTTACTTTTATACATACAATATTTGATGTATTGTACTATTGAATACATTAATCAATGACGTTATCATTTTCCACAGCTTTTTTGGTTATTTTGCAATCCATTCTTATATTCTTTGCATACCTAGGTATACATTAGGGCTTAGATTATGAACATTTGGGATTAGAGTAGCTCTTTGATGAGGTCTGGAGATCATCATAAACGTAGGCAGTATGTTTGTTCAACTATTTCTCTCTCTAATCGACTCAACAAACAAAAACACTGTGTCTCCCTCTAATTAAAGGTTTTGGTTCAAGTGATCGATTCATGCGATATGGGAAAAAAAAAGAAGGGGGGGAAGCTCGTCAAATTTCAATATGGATAACGCCATCTGAACATGCAGTGGTAAATAACAAATTATGAGGTTTCTTTAAAACTAAAAACTGGAGGTTTCAGGTTCGAAATCTGCTGCTGGTGTGAAAGCCAGACTTGTGGCCAGAGGAGGCTAAAATGTCTCAGTGAGTCTTTTCGGCTCCCGAAAATGGTGGATAACCGTGGTTTACCACCACTTATCCTCCTTTTAAAAAAGAAAAGGGAGAACAATGAGAATAACCTTGTAGAGTACGTTAGAGTAAACACGCTCAATTACAAGACCAAGATTAAGCAAATAAACCACGAGATTAATCAAAACTACAAGGGCTTTAAAATGCACTACACAAGCTCTATATGGGCACTATGATGACACTATGAAATCTCTATAATTGCCCTAAGCGACAAAATGATAAGAACCAACAATCAAACATCCAGGACTTGTAGAAGACGAAGCCATAGTTGAGCTCAATGGCTGTCCTTCTCCTCTCTGTCAAAACTCTGATATGCTTAATCGATAATAGGCTTTCGATTCAATATATAAAAACGTAGTTTTGTGAGAGTTGGAGGCCATCATACATACATACATATATATATATATGCATGTACTATCTCTCCTATTAGAATCCAAGTAGAAAAACTGACAAGCAATCATTGTCCTATAATGAGTGTATTCACAGGGCTTATTAACCACATTCCAATCGTTATTCAATTGAAACTAAACCAAACATTTTCCTACAATACTTCCTGCATTAAATTTGAACCAAACAGCCGGCCACAATAAACCAAATCATACTCAAATTCTTACACAGTAAACTTTCACGTTGAAACAATATTATGTTACCATTGATCCAAACAAAACAATTAACCTAATAAATAGGGTTAAACATTTTTTATGGCCTTTTGTTTTACGATTTATTCACCAATTTCGAGTTGACGTTAAAGAATGCACAAGAAGAACTAGAGAATAATGTAAAGTACACGGAACAATAAGGAAGGGGAAATTAATTAGAAGTTCATTAACTAGGTTTAAATCACACTTAAGTGAAGAGAAATCATATGTTAACTCTATCAAGATCATCGTGGATAAGAAACATCAAAGAGGACAAGAAATAAAGTTGATAAGTATACTTTAAATATAGTAGCTATATTCTCTTATAGGACAACGCTTTGCATACAATTCTCGGTAATGTCTTGAACGACAAAGAACAGAGTGTCTTCCCTAAAACTAAAGCTAGCTATGAACAATACATGTATTGGTACTTTTAGTATAACATACGATTTATGACGATGATCTACTTTTCCACGAGGTGGGTCGTAATGGATTAATACAATATTTTAGCATGAAAATCAGATGGGAACATAATTATACAATATTCATATGGTATATGAATAGGGCACAAGTATATTATCCAGAGTACAATATTTCTCAAAAAAAAAAGGACCCCAATTCAATTCTGTTCATACGTACTTCATGCATGGTATTGAACAGATAAAAGTAGTAATGATATATATGAGTCACGGCATCAAATGATCCTTTTCAGTTTTAATCCAATTGCATTTCGAACAACTAATAATTAACAGAGACTCTGTTAAATCTTCTCATAAGCCCTCTTGTTGGATAAGGACTTATTTGTAACTGATTTTATCTTCATTATACCGTTCTTACCTAAACAGCGTTATATATATTCATAGTATTGTATTATTAAATCAAGATGTAACGCATCAATGAACATATTTCATGCAAGTAATTTTACTTTTATTATTAAATTAAAGAGATACAATAACTCTGGAAAAAAACAAGTTGTTACAGTATAAGAAGTAGAACTCATGATCATACAACAAATTGGAGGATATTTTTTCTTTCTTTTATTTTCAGCTTTACTATGATGAGTTTGATGGGGCCATCAGATAATTATGATCTCTTTTATTTTTTATCACAAAGGGAAAAGAACACTTTTATCATTCAACAGTTTATGACTTGGTGGGGGACCCACGATCAACTGAACAAATTTACCTGGCACACCGTCACAGTCTTCTTTTTCTTTTTAATAATTTTCCTTTTATTTTTCCTGCCATCCAAATTGCTTTTTCTTTACCATTTTTTGTTCTTTATAGTGAACCTTTAGTTCCTTTCCTTAAAATATCATTTCCATTTGGGTAAAGACATGCTAACATCTTTCATGATTACGACACAAATCTTTGACTGGTCTCTCTCTCTGCCTGACTCTCATACTGATTAACTGAGCCGCGCATGATTAGACAGGAAAAGGAACGGTGTATATATAGCAATCACGCAGAAAAAAAAGTTGAAATTACACATGTTTTATTGTGCTTCACAATGCGAGATGTAGGAAGATGGATACCAATTTACTAGCATAATTTGAGAAAGTATTATTCACATATTTATTTTTACGCTTCATTTATTTTTATTAATTTTTTGTCATTAAATTTTTTCAATCATTCGATTCAATGATAAAAAATTAAGAAAAGTGTGTGAATAGCACTATCATAATTTCAATGCTTCTGTCTACGCAACCAAAATTTCCTATAGAAGTAGTTGTACTACATTTTGTGGATCAGATTCGTTTGCAAGAACATACTAGAATTTGGAACTAACAAATGGTACCATGTGTACCGTATATAAAGCCATTGTGGTTAGCCGCATGGTGGGTGCGTGTGGAAAATATGTTAAGGTTAAAAAATCTCTTCTCAGATCACGTCGCCAGATGTGAAATGTTCCAATCCTATATAATCCTTGATAGACTGCCTTTCCTTTTCCTAGTTGATTGCAATTGGTTCCTTTGTATTTACTACATTGCATTTCCTTATTTTAGTTTACCCACAACTGTATATTTTTTTTTTTTGTCAAACGACAAACTTGCTAGATTAGGGAATCAACGAGGTTCAAACTCACGGGATGATGTAAGGGCAACACTCCTCTTAACCACTGTGGTAGAGAGCCACTTGCATCCACAACTATATATAATGGTTATATCTTCTTGTTGTGTATATCAATGAAATGATACTCTTCATGATAAACTTAATTAGGTTTAGGTCATGGATAGGGTTCTATTCTTTCCCATTAAGTGATGTATAAGCTCCTTTTTAAGGGTGATCTCGCTTTCCTAATCATGAAGGGAGATTCTCGACAACATAGTGTGATAATGTATTAGGACATCACTAAACCATAACGACAACATGTCATAAGATATTTCCGCACCCATTTTGGTACCTGGCCGACATCCTATATCAACACAATATTTACAGGATATCAGTAATATAGAAGACATATCCAGTATTGGTGGAACCCTATCCCCCTTATGGTATTCAGTATCTTTTTTTTTTTTTGTTTTTTTTTTTTGTTAGGATGTGATTCAACAATCAGAACATTCAATTTTTAGTTTTCTGTCAAGGATTATCCATTCAATTTTTTATTATCCGCAATGAACCGCATTTTTCTGCATAGATGACCAAGCAATTTTGAATTCGGATATCATTTTTTGGGGACTCCAATCATTAAATTCATTATGGAGTAGCCTTAGAAATGATATTTATAACTTATAATAGAATGAAGTTGTCTTAAACCGTACTGTATAATTATTTTGTATATACACATGCTTTTAGCCAAAAAGGTGATGAGAGAGTTGTTCAAATGCCCTCAAGTGCAAACACATACGGAAGCTTGATTGCAAGACTCACTCGTTGAGTAGGAATGAAAGTTGGCCTTAGTATAATATGATGGTGTAAAAATGTTGGCTTTCGATCGATCTAAGTTAAAATGCTAAATCCGCCACATTTATTGACCATATTCTTCACGTATGTGCAAAACTTATAGTTATGAGACATGTGATTATGTACTCATCAAATTAAGCTAGCGAGAACTACGAATATGTGCAAAGCTTAAAGTGTTAGCATTAATTTCTTAGTTCAAGAGTAATTCTTAGGTTGAGAAGTGAACTTATGGTCATGATTACAGAAAAACAGGCCTTTATACTTGCTTTTTCTTTCTCTAAATGGCCACAACAACAAATGAGTTGTACATAACCAATTACATTTAGATAGAGATTAATTAAGGGAGGGAGCTAGAGGGTTATAAGGTCTTTGCAAAGAATTACTTTTTTCTGGTCTTTACCAACCGTCCTTCGCAATACTATGCCCTGTAAGAGAACAATCCCTTGATGATCAACCTTGAAGGAGGAGCTTTTGATCAGTTGCATAAAGAGATTCCAAACTCTTCCCAGTCCCCAATCCAATGACAAATCACTCTTGATTCCTAATAAAATAATAACCATGATTCAAACTCGAACTCTCAGTCAATATTAAATTTGTAAACCACTTTCCTAACATGTATTTTAGTCATTCAATATTAAACACAGTGAGAGAGAGAGAAAGAGAGAGAGAGAGAGAGAAGAGAGAGAGAGAGAGAGAGGTGGATTTTTAAATGGGTTCTAAAGCCATGCAACCTTTCATCACACGATGATGATCTTACGTAAGGGTAAGAGATAAAGCAAAGCAAAGGGGGGGAATGGTGGTGGGGATGTTGTGGAAGACTGTAGAGAGAATATAGAGAGAAGGTTGGCTTTGAACAATTACAAAAGATTCTCAATTGTCGGCTCTGTCTATATCTCTCTATCTATCTCTGTCGACATCATTTTATTACGTGCAGAAAAGACAAACGTTTAATTAGATTCTTCTTTTTCCTTCTAGCTGTGGGATGTATCATTCATGTGGGTTCTCTGCCCCTTCTGGGATGGCCACATCTGTCATTTGGTAACTGCATGATGAAAACAGCTTTAGTTTTCTGACCTAAACTACTCATGCCTATCTAACAACTTGAAGTTGAAGGGTTAAAGTTGGATCAACTCAATCTCAAACACCTGAGACTTGGTGGTGGTCTGCACTTTGCAGCCGCAACTAAGACCCAATGGGGGTTGATTTTCAGTTTTCTTTCCTTACCAATTGGAATAAAAGTACAAACCACCAGATAAGTAGTTAATTAGTTATACTAATAAAGTAGTTAATCATCTAACTTAAACTAATAAAGTGACGCAGGCTTTGATGACTCTTTGCTAGTGTTCATGTTTAAATTCCAATCTATCATTAATAGGGATAATTCATGGTTTTTTTTAGTTTTATTTCAGGATTATTAAAGAGAGAGGGAGTTTCGTATCCGAAACTCATAGGTAGAACTGTAAAAGGTTAACAACCTATCCACTAAGATATTAGACCACACTTAAAGATTGATAGTGTTGAGTTGCACGCATTCGACTTCGACAATACTATATCTGCATCATAGTATTATAGGTTGTTTGAATGTATCTTTGTATCTTTGGTCAAAACCAAACCAAACCAAACTATTCGCATTCCATTCGAATAGGCTGGTCGAGTCACTTGGGTCGGATAAATACTCATCGCCAACAACAACCTAAAAAATTGTAAGAAAAGCATTGTCATTGGGCCCAAACCAATGGGCCGTACAGGTAAAGGTTCAGACACGTGTGACACCTCAGTCCAGCTAAAGAGACCACGTGCTAAGTCTTTAGTCCACGGAAGAAAGACACTGTGTCAAGTCCAATAGGAGCCCAATTCAACCTGAACAGAAGAAAAACGAACCGAAAACCAGAGAAGGCAAAAGAGACGGACCGACGAGCTTCAGGTCGAGAATGCCGATGCTGTGGAGGTGGATAGTGAACAAGACCCGTGACTCGACGCCCTTCTTCTTGGCCTTCGCCACCGTCTGCGGCGTCGTTCCGGGCGTTATTGGTTACTTCGTTATGCAGACGACCAACTCCGGAAACCAACAGCTGGAGGCCGAGCTCCGCCGCAACGCCCGACCCGAATCAATGGTGCGTTTTTGTTAAACTCCATGGTTTTCTGAAGTTATATTCGGCTTTAAGAAATGAGTTTTGCTTGTAATTACGCAAAAATTGTTAATTTATGGAGTATTAGACGAACCCCTTTTCGAATCACGAGGAAGTTAGGTGATCAAATTGATGATTAGGTTTGTGTGGATTGTTTTTGTTTGATGCAAATTCAAAGCTGCAATCTTGACTTGTTCATGAAGTTGTAATATGTTATATGAGTAATGTGTTTGATAAAATGAACTGTCTTTGTCTTTGTCTATGAAGTGACCTGAAAATTTAGTGTGTTGAAACCAATGTGTGTAAGCTTCAAACTTTAGGTAAAGGATAGGCATCTGGTTGAATAATTTTCACTCACTAGTTTACAACAAATGTACGGGCTCGTTTGGAAGTCCGTTTGGAAGCGTTTTTAAAATGACTGACAGTACTTTAGAGAAAATGTTTTTGCGTTCTTAAAGCGCTTAAAGTGTTTTCGACAAGAAGCGCATACATCCATATGCCAGAATGTCGAAAAATTGCAGTGTTTGATGATATGGAACCAACTCAACCAAGTAGTTTAGCTTCCCCAATATCTTTAACAAGGTTGTTTTGCTAAGATTGTGCATCACAAAATCTTTAGGAGCTTGCCTTTTACTTTATTTTTTGCACTGCTAAAATTCAGTGTGGTCTTGAAGCGTAGTGGAAGTTTTGAGGGCAAGTTTTGCTTCCATTTTTCCTCATTCGGCTCTAGAATAGATAAGTGCTCGTAGATAACTCCTCTAAGTTGGTCTCGGTTCCAAAGTTTACCTTATTTTACTTATTCTTCCCATAAGCTTAATTCATCAGAAACAGTGAATAAATCAACTCAAATCTTGTCGAGGAACCATTGCTCGTTCGTCTCCTCACCTATTACAAAGGCATTCGGTACTGATCCCTATTGGATCGGAAACAGTGAAGAAATCTCATGTTAGTTTTATAACATCTTGTTATTGAAAGCTAAGCTAACTTGTACATTTCAGATGGATTTCAATTTCGGGTTGTTCTTGAAACAGTTTCGTACTCTGAATTACCACAAATGCTGACAGTTTTTTGCTTGAAATTGTGAATCAGAGGATGGGGCAAGTAAATAAAGAAAGATTGGCAGAATTCCTTGGGGAGTTGCAGCGAAAGGAGAACACAAACGATCGCTATGTTGCTGCACTGAAAGGAGAGACATTGACTAGGAATCCATATGTGAGAATTCAACCAATTCCGAAGGCAAGCAACACTGAATCTGAGAAAGAACAGAAGTAGATGGAGTTATGCTGTCAAGGGTATCTGTATATTTCTTCAGAACAACTACATGGATGATGGGTTTTTGCGTTTTTGATGTTATACTTATGCACACCTTTGTGGGATGTGTCTGCTTTTTAACCACTTTAGATATTTGATTTTTGTCACAATTAGATATTGAAACGCTTTGCGACTTAGACGAAATTTTGCAAGGATAAACTTTGAATGAAGATCATGAACGGTTTGGAATATGAGAAAATATTGTGGAGTGTGTCCAAACGCGGTTAGTGCCGTATTAAGTTACTAACTGGTTTTGAGTGGTCCTGTGTAACTCTAAATTGCATTTTTATTTTTATACAAGCGATATTGGGATGGCAAAGTTGAACTGGGGGCTTCTGGTGCTGGTGCAAACACTTTTAATTGAATTTTTAAAGGTTCAAATTTTGGTATCTCATATCGACAGAGTGAGCAAGGATGGGTTTTTGGTTTTTTTGGTCGAACGAGTGAGGATGATTTTGACGCAACTCTTTCGCTGCTACAATATGGGTGGACGACAGAATTGATATGTTGCAAGATGAGTGGAACTGTGACACCCTGTTGCAAGCAGGGAAACGAGAGAGATTGAGAAAGCTGTCAAATGCCCCCATCAAATGGCAGGGTATCGAGCTCGTAGACGTGTCGTTGAACATGTCATGTACTTGATCTGCCGGAGTCGGTTTAGGCCTCGCCATCGAAGAAGTCGAAGATGAAGTGATCGGAAGATGCCACGCCGTACAATACCTTAAAGAGACAGTGCCTTCGACCATAGAATGTGTGCGCTTGTAGTGGCAAGAACTAGAGGACCTCATTCAAATTGAATACAAATAAAAAAACTTAATTGGACTTGAAGTGGAAGAAATTATTATCATAATTCAAACCATTTAATATTTTTTTTTTTTATTTTTATCATAATCTAAAAATCATTAGAATGTTTTATTCAGTTAAGGACCGTTCTGCCATTCTTATAAATTGAACAAGTAGATGATTCATAACCATCAATTTGTTTAACATATATGAATGACTAAACGATATTCAAATAAAATGATTTTTTCTAGAAATGATTTTTAGATGATGATAAAGAAAATGAACGGTTCAGATTATGATATTTGTACAGTAAATAATGTTAGGTCGTCGTGTAAGAAAGAATAACTTTTTACATGTAAGGAGTCAAGCAGTGTCTAAAGTAGAACGATAAAAATTCTCAAGCAACCTTATTTCTTGAATTAAATATTAGAATTGCTTATTGGGGGGTTGGATGAAGCGGAACTCATTCCCTTTTGCATTCCATTAAGAATTTGTGAGCTTGTATTGCCATTGACACAGATAGACTGCTGCAATGGTACCATCTAGGTAATTTCCTGTACCTTCTGTAATGGTGCTGCTACTCAAGACCCAGATAAATGGTTTAGCCAGACAAGCAGAGGTTTTAATTTCATGGAAGGAACCCTTCAGATTATTAGGGTTTTTCATTGGTGGCAGAACATACACGACACTTCATTGCAGAGACTCTTATCACTATACCTACTTACTGCAACACTGTAAAAGCACCAATTCGATCAAAAAACTCCATGCCCAGATAACCACTGGAGGTTTTGAGCAAAACCCATTTGTCGTTGCAAAGCTAGTTGGAAAGTATGTGGAGTGCAGTGAATCAAGCATGGAAGCTGCACGGAAGGTGTTCGATAGATTGCTTGAGAGAGATGCTTTTGTGTGGAACATGGTTATTCAGGGTTATGCGAATGTGGGTCCTTTTGTTGAAGCATTCAATGTGTATAATAGAATGCGGTTGAGTGGTGTGCCTGCAAATAAGTACACCTACCCTTTTGTGCTCAAGGCTTGTGGTGCAATGAGAGATGGAAAACGAGGTCGGATTGTTCATGGACATGTTGTGAAATGTGGACTCGACTCGGATTTGTTCGTTGGGAATGCTCTTATTGCCTTGTATTCCAAGTGTGAGGAGATTGAGATTTCGAGAAGAGTGTTTGATGAAATACCTGGGAAAGATTCTGTAAGTTGGAATTCCATTATTTCGGGGTATACGGCAAATGGAAATCCTCACGAGGCTCTCATGCTTTTCCGCACCATGCTGCAAGATCGTGCTGCATGCTTGCCTGACCATGCCACTCTTGTGTGCATTCTTCCGGCTTGTGTTGAAGCATCAGCTATTGAAGTTGGATTTTGGATTCATTCTTACATTATAAAGTCAAGTATGAAAGTCGACGCTGTTTTAGGCAGCGCTCTCATTACAATGTACGCAAATTGTGGCCGCGTAACCACTGCCAGAGTTATTTTTTATCAAATCAGCGAGAAAAATGTGGGGGCGTGGAGTGCGATGATGCGGTGTTATGGAATGCATGGGCATGCAGATGAGGCACTCCAAATGTTTTCGCAGTTTGTGGAGTCTGGCTTACGCCCGGATGGTATTGTATTTTTGTGTTTGCTGTCCACTTGTAGTCACTCGGGGTTCATCACGAAAGGCTTGGAACTTTTTGAGAAAATGGGAGAATATGGAGTAGCGAAAAGCGAGAAACATTATGCTTGTGTGGTCGACCTTCTGGGAAGAGCTGGTTTACTTGACCAGGCGGTCGAACTTATCAGAACCATGCCCATGGAAGCAGGTAAAGATGTATATGGGGCCTTACTGGGAGCTTGTAGAATACATAATAACATAGAAATAGCCGAAAAAGCTGCAGAAAAGTTGTTTGTTTTGGACCCTGAAAATGCTGGAGGTATATTCTTCTGGCCAGCATGTATGAAGATGCAGGTAGATGGGAGGATGCTGGTAGAGTGAGGAAGCTACTGAGAGACAACAACGTCAAGAAACCAACCGGAAGTAGTTCAATCGAGGTGGAATGTATGTATCACACATTTGGAGCAGATGACGAATCTCACCCGTATACAGACCAGATTTTCAACACATTGCAGAGACTGGATAGGATAATGGAAGAAGAAACACTGAAACAGTGATGGTTTAACGTGATCGTTGTGCCCCAGACGAGCTATACGATTTGATAAGCTTACGGATCATCAACATTGTCACTGTTAGAGCAATTGCTCTGGATTATTGACCTAATGCATTTTGTTCTACAAAGTTTACGCTTTTCATTTTCGTATTAACTTGATTCTTCAGCAAATTGAACGAATTATAACGCCATCAATTTTCTACGCTAATTCACGAAAGTTGACAGAAGAAGCACAACTCACGAGTTCTGATGATTTTAAGCAAACCAAACATCTTACAGATGATTAAAAGTAAAGCAGCATTACACATTAGAGTTAGAAAGCAGGACTGCGATCTGGCGCAATTCAACACCCCGGTGTCACTGACGGAAGGCAGACAATCTCTAAAAGCTACATATACACAATCTGATAAACAACGAACGAATCCTTTTGTGCGGTTATCCAGAAAAAACCCTGAGACGACTGCGGATTGGCTGGCGGCAAATTGGACAGGCAGACAATCTTGGTCCACAGTCTCTGCAGGACTGCAATGAAATAACTGTTAGTGCCATGTAAAATAGGAAGGAACAAAGACAAATGGTTGTGCTAGTGCAGCTCACCATATGTCCACAGCCAAAGGCTAGGTCCTTTGGATTAGTTAGGCAGATTGGACAGACCTGCATTCAAATTTAAAAGCAGGAAACAAAATCAGTAATCCGAATTTGTAAGGAGCTCAAAGACATTTCGCTTTGGTCATCTACATACAGCAATTGAAAAAATGACAAGAAACTATACCAGCTCGCTTCGTTCATCACCCCCAGGTGCTGAAAGACCGCTTGGTTCACGAGTTGGCGGTGCACGAGGAGAGTAAGGAACTGGTGGAGGGCGTGGAACTGATTCTGTTCCCGTGCCCTGCCGTGCGTCTATTCCCAGGTACAATAAAACTTATATTAGTAAAGCATACGCTTACTAGTAGGCTAGTAGCTATTCCAATCAAAATGATGTTTATGCTAACCATACCCAAGTAAACTGAGTTCAACAGCTGCCTTATACTGGATTGGGATTTCCATGAGGGCAGCCAGAGCAAATGCAGCTTCTTTCTCAGTGGAAGTTGCGCGTTTAGACATAATTTCGGTGAAGTTAACAAACTACACAAAAACAAACTGGTTGGTGAATTAATGTCTGCTTAAAATCTCTGCATTGACAGTTAACTTATTGGTATATAGATTATAATACCTGAAAATTATCAAAATCGCGTGAAGGGATCTTGTCATCGAACTTCCTCATGTCTTCCCAGGGACCATCGCCGACTCCAACAAGAATAATCGAGAGTGGATAGAAACTGCTCACACAAGTTTTCAATTGCATTGATATACTTAAAACTCTTGCATTGCATAGATACACATAAAACAAAGGAAATGACAAATTCCAGGTTCTACCTTGCATCTGCAATTGATTTGATCGTCTTCTCCTCCTGTGGACTCAATTCGTTGTTGCTTGTATTGATACTTCTCGTGACCTTTACAATCAAGAAACTCGTACTTAGTCGACGGAGAGGGAGAGGGGGAGAGAGAGAGAGAGAGAGCATCAGATATAAACCTGGCCATCTGCAATGATAACTAAGACATGGTATTGCCCCCCACTTTTCTCCACAATATCCATTGCAGCTTCAATTACAGGTCCATAAGAAGTTGGCCCTTAAACACAAAACATGTCTATAAATCTCTGACTCTAATGATATTCTAAATTATAACACAAAAACATAAGATTGCACCAACCTGAAAGTTGCAAATTTGGAACTATTCTTTTGTAGCAGGCCAAAACTTCCTCGAAACCATGGCAGGGCGAATGATCGGTGTGAAAGCTGAACACCCCTTCGCCATGAGTGGTAGCTAGAAAATAATTGGGAGGGAGGCAAAGTCATTGCAGTGATAAAAAAAACATGAAACGAAAGAAAATAGTCCAGAGCTTCAAACCAGAGGCCCCTACCATCACCAAAGCCGAAACAAGGAATTAGGTTGTCTTCATCAAATGGAGCTAGAGTTTTTCCGACAATGGAGATTGCTTTCTCGTATGGATTAGGTTCATCGCCAATGGCGTGCAGGCTCCTGTTTCTGAATGAAGCTTTGCCTGCAGTAACAACAACAACAAGAAGTCATCAGCTTCAAAGATGTCCATATACAAAATACATGATGCATGAAAGTGTATGTATATGAAGGGCATTGCAGTTTTAGTTTTCGTCCGTGAACCTGTCCATTCGTTGCTCTTGGTGAAGTCGATTCCGACAATGAGATTAGATGACTCTAAACCTTCTTTTCTCAAGGCATCTGTAACCTGCAAAATGAATCAATTGTATTTATTTTTTACAATGTTAAGCATGTTCATGTTTTATTTTTTCAGTTGTTACACATCATACAACAAGGGAGATAGACGCGTCGTCGTATTCACAAAGATAAGCATGAGAGATTTTTAAGTGTTCCAGAAACACGAGGAGGTACACCACATGTCATGATCATGATACAAGTGGAGGAACACTAAAAAATATACTCTCAGCCACTTATATCATAATACGTGATGTACCGACTTATGTTCTAGCAGTACGCTAAAAATATCTAAGCAGGAAGTTGTGGGACCACTTCTCCAAACCTTACTATCTAGAGCCCAAGGACCAGAAAATCCGGGCCCATAATTTGTGGGAAAGAAATATCAGAGACTTTGATTTGTGTGAGGTGGACCAGCTAAATGAATTAATGGAAACCATCAAATTAAATTTAAATAGTTTGAATTGCCTTGTCCTTGGACTCCGAACAGTGAGATCGGAGTAGATCTTTGTCCCCACTGCTTTGCTTGTAGTCAATGTGCTGACATTGCCCATTGGCTAAGCTAAAGAAATCCAATATGCCATTGTGCCTAAAAATAAGATTCTTGATTCTTTTAAGAGATGCGTTCGCACGTCACTGATGCAAAGAAAGAAAGATGCGTGCAACATGCAATTAATAATTGAGATGGTGAGAGCTGCTTGGGCCATGATTAATTAAATAAATTGAAATTAACCACTCAATTAAAAATAAAATCATGTATTTTTTGTGGTGATTTAGAATTGGATAGGACTAAGAGCAATTATGTTTGGAATACAACTCAAAGCACTATCCAAACCTCCAACTTGTTTGGGTAAGTTGAAAGACTCTCCAAGTCAACACATGGAGGACTGACTCCAACTCCACTAAATGAGTGGATGTCCATTTGGAAATTTTTACCGGTACCAAAGTACGGATCCTTTGGATCCTCTTAAAAGAATTTTGAAGTAAATCGTGTACGTTCATCATATATCATGTAATTAAAAATTATTTTAAATATTTTTATTTAAAAATAAATTTAAACAATACTTAACAAAATTTAACTAATAGACACAATTTACAAATCTCAGGACCGAATCCTTTTGATAAAATATCGTGCTGTTATCAATTTACGTGTTTAATAAAGTTGACGGGATGAAAGTTATGAACGGAATTCCCTCCGGATCCCTTTTATCTGGATCCTCCGGATGCATCAATCTGGTCCTTTCAACCTAAAATTGACCAGCCGGAAGACGATCAGACGACCTTGACGCCATCCAAATGAGAAGAAGTTGCGATGGCAGTGGCAGCCTTGGATCCTCCGCCTACGAGACGGCGGGACGGTTGAGAAGGGGCGAATGTCAGAGGAGACGACGGCGTCGTCAGGATTGTAGTCACGATTGACGAAGTAGAACCGCAGAGAAGATTGCAAAGGACGCGGCAGAATCACCGAGAAGAAAGAAGAAGAAAATTTGAAGAAGCAGCAGCAGAACCGCAGAGAAGGAAGGAGAAAACCCGTGTTGGGGGAGGACCTGGAAGATCCGGACCAAAGGAGTCTAGATAGAGGATCCTATCCCAATAGTTAGGACCAATAATTAAAAGGTAGGTCCTACTCTTTAATTAATGAAATGAAAAATAACATAAATTATTTTAGTGGAGCACATGCGGTTAAGTATGTTTAAAGCAAGTGTACGAATACATATACCAACAGAAAAAAGTGCACTTGATGGAACAGTTCTTCTCCGGATTTATAAAAATTGAGTTTAAGAATCATATGATTTAAACCGTTGAAATTTGATTCAATGATTATAAATAAGAGATATTTCTAAAAATTATAATAATTGTAATTTTTAAATCAAATTTTAATGATTCGGATTATTTGATTCTTAAACTCAATTTTTTTAAGATCTAGGTTCCATTTTGAGCACGTCCAATAACATATTCCCAAAAGCCATTATGAGATAAGAAACGTTCAATAATGATGTCATGTCTTTGAGATCATCGACTGTTTTGGACCTCAGTCATTTTAATTGCTCCAGATCCAACTCCAACGACCATAAATGGTGTTGAAAAATGGAGCTAACCACTTAGTTTTCAGTCTAGGGACCTGAATTGTCTGCTTTTCTTATCCCATACTTTTCTCATCCTTTCTTATATTCTGTAATCATGGTTAAGTTATGCTAATATAACGTAACTTATATAAAATATTAACGTAACTTAATTGTGACCACAAAATATAAGAAGGGATGAGAAAAGTATGGAATAGGGACGGCAGACAAACCACGTTCCAGTGGTAGGTAGTGGTACTTGCACTCCAAATTCTAGTCTAAACTGTACTCGAATGGTCGTGTAAATTGGTCTAGAGTCATCATTGACAGTCAATTAATAAGAAAATGGGTTTAAATTAGTTAGGTAAAACAGTGTCTATGCTTTTTTACAATCAAATTCAAATTTTATACGTAAATTAGAGTAATTTAAAATAAAATAATGATTTCCTTTGCCTCTAATCGCATAAGTCAAAGTTGGAGAACAAATTGAGGTGAAAGAAAAAAAATGGTTAACTTTGATTTAGAGGAGGTTTTTTAAAAAAAAAAATTAAAAAAAAATTAATTGGTGGTTTTATCAGTGCAGTTCTTTTTTTTAAAGACAAAAAAACTCATAGAGTTATTTCAGTATCTCTCTAATTATCATCAAGTGATAAATCAAACTCAAAACGTACATTATGTAGAATAGAAGCATGAAATTAGTGCTCAACCACTAGCCCCGTTGGTGTCTCTTAGAGGCTTACATTGTCATTGTATATTCAATTATTTGAAATTTTGATGTTGAAAAGTCCATAGTAACCTTTAGAACAAAACCACAGATTTTTGGTCAAAACCAATTTGCCAAGGACAGTTAGAGGAGGAGAAGACCCAAAAACAAAATTCTATCCAAAACAAAACCTTGGACAGTTAAAGGATAGAAGAAACAATCCTCTGATTAAAACAGATATTCCCTAAATTTTAGGTGAAATTAATGATTAATTTTCATACACTTAAATAAAAAGGAAAATTTTCATATGCTCTCTGCTTGATTTCAGACAAAATTATTAGAGAGAGAGACAGACAGACCTGTTCAATGGATGTGAAGTTATCAGGAATATAAGCGTACTTCTCCTTCTTCTGGGTGGAGAGCTGCTTCTCTGTACCGCTCTTTGTTTTGCTGCCACCTGTATCATTTGTGCTCCATTTTTTGAACATCGTTGGATCATACGGCGGCGTTCTTCCAGTTACGCTGCGATTTCTGCCGGCGGTGCTACCGGAGATACTTCTTGAAACTCCACGGCTGTTGGTCTGCTTGTTTTTGAAAAATGAAAAGAGGCTGCCCATAACAACATCTACTCTTCCTTTGTTCTTCAACGCACAGTAAATATAGTGGAAAACAAAGGGCAAAAGAGAGATTTAAGTAGAGAGTAGTGAGAGTGAAACTATGCACTATGTCTGCTTTCGATTCAGAAGCCGACAAAAAAAAAAAAAAGGAAGAACTTATGGGAGTTGCAGGGGAGGGAGGTTAGGAATCTATGCTTTGTTTTGTCGCTGCCTAAGGAAGTAGAAGGCTTTCTGAGGAGGAATAGGAGCTTGCTTGCAAGATAACGTTAGTTGACCATTACGCTTCACACATGCTTTTTTTCCAGGAGTATTTAATGGGCCGATCACTGGTTTGAATAGTTTTAAAATAACTGAAGATATTTTTGATAAAATTGATTTTGAATTTCAAAAGTTCTTTAAAGTTTTTTTGGAAGAAGCATAAAATATATACTTCTTGGATAAAACATTTAAAAGTACTTTTTCAGAATCCATTTAGATTTTTATTAAATATGAGTTTCTAAAACATTTTCATCAAAAGCGTTTTTGATCGTTTTAAAAGCATTATCAAACTAGCCCTAAGTAATTTAGAAACTATTACACTATTTGGCTTCTTACATGTAAAGTGTCATGCCATTTGACATGACGATGTGATATTATTTTACTGTATAAAATCATATTTGAATATCTTTTTGTATGAAATTTCTTTCAACTTAATTGCTGTTTAATCATCCATATGAAAAAACAAAAATAAAACAAAATGACGATCAATCATGAGAATATTTTTACCATAATTGTCTATTTTTTCGAATCATAAATGACCAAATGATCTCAAAATTAAATGATTTTTTTAGAAATAATATTTAGACGATAATAAAGAGCAATAATGTGAATTATAATATTTGAAAAGTAAAATGGTGTCACGTTGTTATAAAATGAGAAATAACTCCTTATGTACAAAGGAGATTAAATTTTCTACGCGCATCAGTATGTATCATCTTTGTGACCTCTATTATTAATTGACACATGTTAATAAAGTTAACTCTTTTTAACTTTGTTGTCATGAATTTAACGCATGTCAATCAATGATAAAGGCCACACAAAAAATAATTTTTAACTTTGTTGTCATAAACTTAACAAACATTAATCAATAATAGAAATCACACACAAAATGAGTGTAGAAGAGTTGAACTCCATACAAAGAGCCAAGTAGTTTTCAATAATTTATAAATAGACCTTTTTTTTTTTGGTCAATAAATAGACCTTATTAAATGAATGAAAATATAACCGTTACAAAGCATATTGTTTGCTTCGATGATCTAACGTAACATTTTGCCTTTTAATATTATATTCATATTCAAATACTTTTGGGAAATTTCCAATCAGTTTCTCTTACAATATTCTCCTTCATTGGTCATATAAAAATAAGAACTTTAACAAAAAAAATTCGGTACTGTTTACTTTAATGAAAAATCATATTTTTATACTAAAAAATCAATCATGGTATTATTTACTTTACCTTTTATTTTATCTTTATCGTTAAAACTCAAAATTTTTAAACTCTTTTCATTATTTTTTCTTATAAAAATCCCTATAAATAATGAAGTAAAAGAAATGTGTCGCACGTGATCCTATCCATTGTTGTAGTGGAATCGCAACGTTCCTAAAAGTACAATCTCAAACCTCCTAAACTATTTTATTTTTGAATTTTTTGTTTTCCTTTGTTAATGAGAATGAGGAATTTGAAGATGAGATTCTTATGGTTTGTTTGATGAATATTTTGTTTTTTGTGTTTGATTTATGGTTTTGTTCTTGAAATATAAAAAAATATATGAGAGAAGTAAGCAAAGAAGAATGAACGATAACAAAATATTAAAAGTGAAGACAATTTTAAACAATTTTGTTTTTTCAATACGTTTATTTTACACCTTGCCCGCCAACCTTCTTAAGGTATCCAACGTCTTGTATTCATTATATTTAACTCCTAAGTGTGTGTCTCACTTAATGAATATATTCATATGATGCAACACCAAACTTGATAGAACTTGATAAAAAAAAAATCCTTGGTTATTTATGCACACACTTTATAATCTATGATGCAAAACAAATTTTCTCTTATCAAGATCATAAGGGTGTGTTTGTTGTACCAAACTATATTGGATTGCACTAGCTACAGGAACCTAAGCTGGACTGACTTAATAAAGTGTTTGTTATAATGTTGTATTAAGAAACAAGATAATGAAAATTAATTCTCTTTTTTCCTTTCTAGAACTTGCAAATTTTTTTAAAACGTGGCTAACATCACTTCTCCTCAGGCACTTGGGCCTTGGACTCTCGCTTGCCCTCTCCCACGGGCTCCCCCTTAGCCCAACAGCTTGAATGGGCTGGAACTAGTTTGGGGGACAATTGGATTGGAAATGGAGCCTGTCCACGGGGGCTAAAGAGCACACTGGAAATGCTATGAGGTACGAAGCAAACAAGGTGAAGCAGTGCAAATGAGGGTGAAACGGTCTTATCAAGCCTTCTACTTTTCCCCGGGGTGGGGGGGGGGTGTCGCTAAGACCACCTAATGAAGCATTTAATCGAATCTGACTTAATCTCATAAGATCAGTTTTTGCTTGCACCAAACGCAGACTAGTAACCGTAGTTAAGCTAAGTCATTCCAATCTAGTGAATGCAAACAAACGCACAACCAAAAGATATATGTAGTTTCAGATATTTCTCTTCAAAATAAACAAAATAGAGCCTCTTATTCTTGTCTTAATCAGAAAAAAAAGAGTGGTGGTATGCCCACCTCTCAATCCTATTTTCTCACCCACGTTTTAATGATAAATTTATCCTCCTATAAAAAGACTAGGGGTGGCTTCGACTTCAATCTGTTTAGTATTTTACTGAAATAAAAAACCAAACCGAAGTTTTGGTTTAGTTCGATTTTTTTTCAGTTTAGTTTTGGTTCGTTTATTTTCGGTTTGATTCGATTTTTATTTTTATTTTTATGAAACTTTAAAATGATAGCCATTGACGACAATTAGATATGGAACACAGGACTCTGCCTTACTGAAAAACTTACAGTTGCTCAGTTAGTAATTACCATCAGTGTTAATTTTGAGCTTTTTGGGTCACAAATTACTTGTTACTTTGTAGTTTGGTGCTATTTTTTTTTTTTTTTTTTTTGAACTTCGTCAGTTTTTTTTTTCAGTACACCATTGACGGCAATTGCAATGGAGGAGGTCACTGAGCCATAACCGTCCAAATCTCCAAGTATAAAAAATATACGAGAATAAATCCAAGAAAAGATGCATATAAATAAAACTTCTCGCAAATGAATACACTACAAATAAAACTTGAATTATGTACACTAAAGTTTTTTGTTTGGGATTTCTATTTGGCTTGAAGTTTTCAACATATTTGAGCCTAAAATTATATTAATGATTAAAAATTGGGTTTAGAAAATAAATATCCAATATAAATAAATAAATAACTAAAAGTAATTATATTTAATTTGGTTCGGTTTGGTTTCCAAACCACTAAAACAGAAACCAAACCAAAACATTTTAGTTCGATTTAGTTTTGTTTAATTCAGTTCGGTTTTTTGGTTTCGGTGTAGTGTTTAGGTTGGTTTTTTCAGTTTTCGAATTTTTTTAAACCACCCCTGAAAATTACCACTAAGGACATATATATTAATCATTTATATTTTGCGAAACATATATTTAAGAAAACAAAAATATCAAACATAAAAAGGAAAAACCAATAACAAAAACCCCATCCCACAATGAGAAGTCCACCCACATGCGTCCCTCACGGCAGAGCCAAATCGACGACGTCAAAACTCTATCGCTTCATTTCTCTCCCTCTCTTCATCGCCTCCTCTTTCTCCCTCTCTTTTCTCTTTTTCTCTCTCCCAGTCTCTATTTTCCTCGTAAATATGTGCCATTTAGGTATGCATCCGATGGTCTTAGCTTCTTAGGGATGTGGGGTTCTGCTACTGGGGTTTTTGGGTGTGATGTAGGTTGTAGAGGGTTTTTTTCTTGGTCAGCCGATAAATTTTGTTAGATTAGTCCCCAACAGAAATTAAACTTACACTATTATGCAATAGTTCAACTCATTTTCACTTTTAAAAAGTGGTCATGAGACCTGGTTTTTGGGATAAGAGGGTCTTGTGGGTTGGTGGCCTCGGATGGGTTCTCTAATAAAAATAAATCAACTTTTAATATTTTTATATATATTCCAATATTTAGAGGAATTGATCGAAGGACATTTTAGTAATATTGTGGGTAGAAAAACAGTATTTTTTTATGTTTTAAGTTTATATGTGAGGTGAGTATAACATGAGTGAAAAAATAGAGTAGTGAGATGAGTAATAGGAAGAGTTTATCAACAGTAAAAAGATTACTAAATACGCAATAAGTCTTGTAATCTCATTCATAAAACATGAAAGTCCACATTGAAAAATGTCCAATCAAGTCTCTAAAACCTAGGATGCATTACAAACATTATGACTATGATATTTCTCTCATCAAAATCATACAAGATACAAAAATATAACTGGAAAGGATAGGTTTAGGAGACGTATGATGCATCTTTGGTGTCCAAAGGCTCGGGTAATGGCGGTTTAATTGGATGATGATTTGTTCTCGTTTGGCTTCGAGAACAAACGAGAGCGAACAATAGTGTTAAAAGGCGGTCCCTGGTTGTATGACGGGGCTTTGCTGTTGATGGCAGAAGCTGATACATTAGCTAACCCTACAAAGATTCCACTCTACGCTCTGGAGTTTTGGATTCAAATCAAGGGTTTGCCCCTTGGGTATATGACACGGCATATGGGGCAATTCATCGGAAATCAGATAGGTAAACATATTCTCACGGATCAAAGCAGAAATGGAGAATTGGAAGGGTGAGTGCTACATATACGGGTGGAGTTGGATGTTACAAAACCTTTTCGATCGCAAGAGTTTGCTACTTTCTATTGAGGGTTCCGTGGTGAGTATTGATCTTCACTATGAGAAGCTTCCAATCATGTGCTACTTGTGTGGACTTGTTGGTCATATGGAAGAACAATGTGAAAAGTTTTCAACGAAGAATGAAGATGATTTAATGAAACCTTACGGTCGATGGTTCCAGAATGATGTTCTTGACGCCAACTACCGTCGACCACAGGGTACTCGTTTTGGCTTGGAACCTTCACATGTATGGTCAATGAAAACAGCGATGGACGTGGAAGAGGAGGAGGTTAATTAATCTTCGGTGGTTCGGCCTCCAGGGACGGCTGTGCTTGGGTTGGTGGTGACGGGGGATGATGAACTGGAAAACGGTGAAGTGGGGAAGGATCGGAATAATAGGATCGATAATGGTGGCTTTGCTATACCTGATTTGAATGAGGGCGTCGACTTGGATGAGATGTCCATTGATGACCTAGATATTGTCCATTTTCAGGAACCTCCAGTTGATCTAGCGTTGATGGGGACTAATCAGGGGGACATTTCAATTGACTCATGTGGTTTGAGACTATTTGGGTTTGATTTGAATGTCCCGAATGTTGATAATGACGTGGTTGCGAGGAGTACATGTTTGATATTAACTGATGGGCCCAATGAAGCATCCAAGGGGGATGAGGTGAGAGGGAGTGGGCATGTGGTTAGCTCTAATATCGATCGGCATCAGGTATCTTTTCGTCTGGGGCTGCCTCCTCATAGCAGGCAGTTTGAGGAGGGATCTAGTGTTGTGGGGTATGGTAAGTTTGAGATGGGGTCTGACCCATTTAACCTTATGCCAATTATTGAACAATTGCAGGCAAAGAGGAGGAGGAAGTCAAAACGAGTTAGGAGGGTGGGGGGCACAGCTCAACGTGGTACCCCCTCTTCTACTCAAGTGTCCACAAATACGAGGTTACCAGCTCTAGGGAAATGCGCTGAGCGTGAATGGAATGATATTTTGGCACCTTCTAGTGGACGTAGAAGGATTATGGTCAATGAGGTTGATTCCACTTTATCGGCGGAGGTTGACGGTGGTCAACCCCGCTGGTCTCAATAAGTTGGAACTGCCGGGGGCTTGGGAACCTCTGTACAGTTCATGCGCTTCAACTTTGATTTTGAATAAAGATCCCACCATGGTGTTTCTTTGTGAGACGAAGAGCAACGTTCGTTATATAGAACGCCTACGGATGAAGTTGAATTATGATGAAAGTTTCAAAGTTGCTAGTTATTGAATTTTTGAATGTCTATTTTTGTATATGTGAAAACAAAGTACAAGGAGCTCATATAAATGAGCGGAAGAAAAAGCAACAGAAGCCGAAAAACAAGGGAAAAGGAAATCAGCAAAACAAGGAAAAGAAATCAGCAAAACAAGGAAAAGCAAAAAGCAACAAAACAAGAAAAAGAAAGCAGCAGCAAACATGGAATCATAAAACATGGAAAAGCAAATCCTTGATTTATGGCACTTCTTCCAATACTCCCCCTCAAGCTGGATCAAAGGGATCAATTGATCCGAGCTTGGATAGCAGATGATGAAAAGTAGTAAATGCCAGTCCTTTGGTGAAGATATCTGCTAGCTGGTCATGACTGCGAATGAAGTGTGTAGCAATTACCTTGGATTGCACTTGATTCCGAACATAATGACAATCAACTTCAATGTGACCTGTGTTTGGAGCATGCATGAACTAACTAACAATGCTGACAGCATATGATATATCAGGACGTGTGATAGTCAGATAAATGAGTTTGCCAACCATTTTTTGATAGTAACTTAAATTGGGAACTGGATCACCGTGAGTTTTTAGCTTCAAGTTGCTATCCAAGGGGGTACGAGCAGGCTTGCAATCTATCATTTTTGCTTCGTGAAGAAGATCCATGACATACTTGCGTTGGTTGAGGAAGAAACCCTTGTGAGAGTGTGCCATCTCGATGCCCAGAAAGTATTTGAGAGTGCCAAGATCCTTGATAGCAAACTTGTTGTTGAGATACTGTTTAAGAGCATTAATCTCTGACATATTATCACATGTCACAATTAGATCATCAACATAAATGAGCACAACTAGTTTACCCACTAAGCTGGAACGAACAAATAGGGAAGAATCCGCAATACTTCGACAAAAACCAACCCTTTCCAGAACATGACTGAGCTTGGCATACCATGCACGTGGACTTTGCTTGAGACCATAAATGGATTTATGGAGTTTGCACACCATTTCTGGATTGTTTAATTGAGGATGACCTGGGGGTAGCTTCATGTAAACCTCTTCTTCAAGTTCACCATGCAGGAAAGCATTTTTAACATCCATTTGAAAGAGAGGCCATGCATTGTTAATTGCAACCGACAACAATACTCTAACAGTGTTCATTTTTGCCACTGGAGCAAATGTCTCTTTATAATCGACGCCATAGGTTTGTGTAAAACCTCGAGCAACCAAGCGAGCCTTATTCCTTTCGATTGTGCCATCTGAATGAAACTTAGTTTTGTACACCCAACGACTCCCCACTGCCTTCTTTCCTTTTGGAAGTTTCACTATAGTCCATGTGTTATTTTCATGGAGGGCTTGAAGCTCCTCTGCCATAGCATTTCTCCACTCACTGTAAAGATTGGCTTCTTGAAAAATTTGAGGTTCTCGAGCTTCATTAATGGCACTTAGGAATGTAGCAAAAGAAGATGAAACTTTGCTATAATCAATAACATCAGTCACGGGATACCTGGCAGTGTAGGTCACATAATCATGCAACTTGGATGGAAGTTTCCTCTCTCGTGCAGGATTGCGACGAACTGTAGGAGATTGAACTACAGGTATTTGAACAACATCATGGTTGGAAGGATCACTGGAGGGTGCATTGTGAATCTCTGATGAGGAAGGGTTTTCATCTTGAAGATGTTCCACCGAGTGAAGGTTAACATCATCCGGCACATGATCACTAGGAATGCATGTTGCATCTTCTCCGTTTGGACATGGAAAAGGAAATAAGTCCATCAAATGCTCCCCCTGTCTAGAGTAATCCAGTGATTGTGAGAAGTAAGGAACATGTTCTTCAAATTTAACATCCCTTGAAACAACCATTTTTCTAGTTGTTGAATTATAGCACTTGTAACCTTTTTGGGTAGATGAATAACCTAGAAAGACACATTTGGCAGCCCTTGGGTCTAGCTTGTCACGATTTTGAGTTTGAATGTGAACAAAGCATGTACACCCAAAGACTCTCAAATGGGAAAAATTGATCTTTCTATTTTTCAAGACCTCATAAGGTGATTTAAAATTCAACACTTTACTAGGCAATCTATTGATGAGATATGCCGCAGTAAGGACTCTTTAAGACCAAAACTTCTTAGGCACATTCATGTGAAACATAAGAGCTCTAGTCTTCTCAAGTAGATCTCTATTCTTCCTCTCGGCCACCCCATTTTGTTGAGGTGTTCCAACACAGCTTGTTTGGTGTAATATACCATGCGTGCTCAAGTAGTGTGACATGCTATGAAACATATATTCTGTGCCGTTATCTGATCGTAAAATATGAATTTTTGAAGCAAATTGGGTGGCCACAAGTTTATGAAAATCTTGAAAAACTTCCATCACTTCACTTTTAAATTTCAAAAGATACAACCAAGTAATCCTTGTGAAATCATCCACAAAAGTTACAAAATATTTATATCCATCAAAAGACTCTATAGTTGGTCCCCAAACATCGGAATGCACAATTTCAAAAGGGTTACTAGCCCTAGACAAAGAGGAAGTAAATGGTAATCTAGTAAACTTAGAAAAATGACAAACATCACAAGGACTTGTAACTTTGCACATATTTGGGAACAAGGTGGATAGAACTTTTTCAGAAGGATGTACTAACCCCATAGGTGTCTCTTAGAGGTTTACATTGTCATTGTATATTCAATTATTCGAAATTTTTATGTTGAAAAGTCCATAGTAACCTTTAGAACAAAGCCACAGATTTTTGGTCAAAACCAATTTACCAAGGACGGTTAGAGGAGAAGACCCAAAAACAAAATTCTATCCAAAACAAAACCTTGGACAATTAAAGGATAGAAGAAACAATCCTCTGATTAAAACAGATATTCCCTAAATTTTAGGTGAAATTAATGGTTAATTTTCATACACTTAAATAAAAAGGAAAATTTTCATATGCTCTCTTCTTAATTTCAGACAAAATTATTAGAGAGAGAGACAGACAGACCTGTTCAATGGATGTGAAGTTATCAGGAATATAAGCGTACTTCTCCTTCTTCTGGGTGGAGAGCTGCTTCTCTGTACCGCTTTTTGTTTTGCTGCCACCTGGATCATTTGTGCTCCTTTGTTTGAACATCGTTGGATCATACGGCGGCGTTCTTCCAGTTACGCTGCGATTTCTGCCGGCGGTGCTACCGGAGATACTTCTTGAAACTACACGGCTGTTGGTCTGCTTGTTTTTGAAAAATGAGAAGAGGCTGCCCATAACAACATCTACTCTTCCTTTGTTCTTCAACGCACAGTAAATATAGTGGAAAACAAAGGGCAAAAGAGAGATTTAAGTAGAGAGTAGTGAGAGTGAAACTATGCACTATGTCTGCTTTCGATTCAGAAGCCGACAAAAAAAAAAAGAAGAACTTATGGGATTTGCAGGGGAGGGAGGTTAGGAATCTATGCTTTGTTTTGTCGCTGCCTAAGGAAGTAGAAGACTTTCTGAGGAGGAATAAGAGCTTTATTGCAAGATAACGTTAGTTGACCATTACGCTTCACACATGCTTTTTTTTCCAGGAGTATTTAATGGGCCGATCACTCGTTTGAATAATTTTAAAATAACTCAAGATATTTTTGATGAAATTGATTTTGAATTTCAAAAGTTCTTTAAAAGTTTTTTTTGAAAGAAGCATAAAATATATACTTCTTGGATAAAGCATTTAAAAGTACTTTTTCAGAATTCATTTAGATTTTTATTAAATATTAGTTTCTAAAACATTTTCATCAAAAACGTTTTTGATCGTTTTAAAAGCATTATCAAACTAGTCCTAAGTAATTTAGAAACTATTACACTATTTGGCTTCTTACATGTAAAGTGTCATGCCATTTGACATGATGATGTGATATTATTTTACTGTATAAAATCATATTTGAATATCTTTTTGTATGAAATTTCTTTCAACTTAATTGCTGTTTAATCATCCATATGAAAAAACAAAAATAAAACAAAATGACGATCAATCATGAGAATATTTTTACCATAATTGTCTATTTTTTCGAATCATAAATGACCAAATGATCTCAAAATTAAATGAATTTTTTAGAAATAATATTTAGACGATAATAAAGAGCAATAATGTGAATTATAATATTTGAAAAGTAAAATGGGGTCACGTTGTTATAGAATGAGAAATAACTCCTTATGTACAAAGGAGATTAAATTTTCTACGCGCATCTGTATGTATCATCTTTGTAACCTCTATTATTAATTGACACATGTTAATAAAGTTAACTCTTTTTAACTTTGTTGTCATGAATTTAACGCATGTCAATCAATGATAGAGACCACACAAAAAATGATTTTTAACTTTGTTGTCATAAACTTAACAAACATTAATTAATAATAGAAATCACACATAAAATGAGTGTAGAAGATTTGAACTCCGTACAAAGAGCCAAGTAGTTTTCAATAATTTATAAATAGACCTTTTTTTTTTGGTCAATAAATAGACCTTATTAAATGAATGAAAATATAACCGTTACAAAGCATATTGTTTGCTTCGATGATCTAACGTAACATTTTGCCTTTTAATATTATATTCATATTCAAATACTTTTGGGAAATTTCCAATCAGTTTCTCTTACAATATTCTCCTTCATTGGTCATATAAAAATAAGAACTTTAACAAAAAAATTTCGGTACTGTTTACTTTAATGAAAAATCATATTTTTACACTAAAAAATCAATCATGATATTATTTACTTTACCTTTTATTTTATCTTTATCGTTAAAACTCAAAATTTTTAAACTCTTTTCATTATTTTTTCTTATAAAAATCCCTATAAATAATGAAGTAAAAGAAATGTGTCGCACGTGATCCTATCCATTGTTGTAGTGGAATCGCAACGTTCCTAAAAGTACAATCTCAAACCTCCTAAACTATTTTATTTTTGAATTTTTTGTTTTCCTTTGTTAATGAGAATGAGGAATTTGAAGATGAGATTCTTATGGTTTGTTTGATGAATATTTTGTTTTTTGTGTTTGATTTATGGTTTTGTTCTTGAAATATAAAAAAATATATGAGAGAAGTAAGCAAAGAAGAATGAACGATAACAAAATATTAAAAGTGAAGACAATTTTAAACAATTTTGTTTTTTCAATACGTTTATTTTACACCTTGCCCGCCAACCTTCTTAAGGTATCCAACGTCTTGTATTCATTATATTTAACTCCTAAGTGTGTGTCTCACTTAATGAATATATTCATATGATGCAACACCAAACTTGATAGAACTTGATAAAAAAAAAATCCTTGGTTATTTATGCACACACTTTATAATCTATGATGCAAAACAAATTTTCTCTTATCAAGATCATAAGGGTGTGTTTGTTGTACCAAACTATATTGGATTGCACTAGCTACAGGAACCTAAGCTGGACTGACTTAATAAAGTGTTTGTTATAATGTTGTATTAAGAAACAAGATAATGAAAATTAATTCTCTTTTTTCCTTTCTAGAACTTGCAAATTTTTTTAAAACGTGGCTAACATCACTTCTCCTCAGGCACTTGGGCCTTGGACTCTCGCTTGCCCTCTCCCACGGGCTCCCCCTTAGCCCAACAGCTTGAATGGGCTGGAGCTAGTTTGGGGGACAATTGGATTGGAAATGGAGCCTGTCCACGGGGGCTAAAGAGCACACTGGAAATGCTATGAGGTACGAAGCAAACAAGGTGAAGCAGTGCAAATGAGGGTGAAACGGTCTTATCAAGCATTCTACTTTTCCCGGGGGGTGTCGCTAAGACCACCTAATGAAGCATTTAATCGAATCTGACTTAATCTCATAAGATCAGTTTTTGCTTGCACCAAACGCAGACTAGTAACCGTAGTTAAGCTAAGTCATTCCAATCTAGTGAAGGCAAACAAACGCACAACCAAAAGATATACGTAGTTTCAGATATTTCTCTTCAAAATAAACAAAATAGAGCCTCTTATTCTTGTCTTAATCAGAAAAAAAAAGAGTGGTGGTATGCCCACCTCTCAATCCTATTTTCTCACCCACGTTTTAATGATAAAAAAATCCTTGGTTATTTATGCACACACTTTATAATCTATGATGCAAAACAAATTTTCTCTTATCAAGATCATAAGGGTGTGTTTGTTGTACCAAACTATATTGGATTGCACTAGCTACAGGAACCTAAGCTGAACTGGTTTAAAATAAACTAAGCTGGACTGACTTAATAAAGTGTTTGTTATAATGTTGTATTAAGAAACAAGATAATGAAAATTAATTCTCTTTTTTCCTTTCTAGAACTTGCAAATTTTTTTAAAACGTGGCTAACATCACTTCTCCTCAGGCACTTGGGCCTTGGACTCTCGCTTGCCCTCTCCCACGGGCTCCCCCTTAGCCCAACAGCTTGAATGGGCTGGAGCTAGTTTGGGGGACAATTGGATTGGAAATGGAGCCTGTCCACGGGGGCTAAAGAGCACACTGGAAATGCTATGAGGTACGAAGCAAACAAGGTGAAGCAGTGCAAATGAGGGTGAAACGGTCTTATCAAGCCTTCTACTTTTCCCCGGGGGGGGGGGGGGGGGGGGGGGTGTCGCTAAGACCACCTAATGAAGCATTTAATCGAATCTGACTTAATCTCATAAGATCAGTTTTTGCTTGCACCAAACGCAGACTAGTAACCGTAGTTAAGCTAAGTCATTCCAATCTAGTGAAGGCAAACAAACGCACAACCAAAAGATATATGTAGCTTCAGATATTTCTCTTCAAAATAAACAAAATAGAGCCTCTTATTCTTGTCTTAATCAGAAAAAAAAGAGTGGTGGTATGCCCACCTCTCAATCCTATTTTCTCACCCACGTTTTAATGATAAATTTATCCTCCTATAAAAAGACTAGGGGTGGCTTCGACTTCAATCTGTTTAGTTTTTTACTGAAATAAAAAACCAAACCGAAGTTTTGGTTTAGTTCGATTTTTTTTCAGTTTAGTTTTGGTTCGATTATTTTCGGTTTGATTCGATTTTTATTTTTATTTTTACGAAACTTTAAAATGAAGGTATGGAACACAGGACTCTGCCTTACTGAAAAACTTACAGTTGCTCAGTTAGTAATTACCATCAGTGTTAATTTTGAGCTTTTTGGGTCACAGATTGCTTGTTACTTTGTAGTTTGGTGCTATTTTTTTTTTTTTTTGAACTTCGTCAGTTTTTTTTTTCAGTACACCATTGACGGCAATTGCAATGGAGTTGTTCACTCAATTGCAATGGAGGAGGTCACTGAGCCATAACCGTCCAAATCTCCAAGTATAAAAAATATACGAGAATAAATCCAAGAAAACATGCATATAAATAAAACTTCTCGCAAATGAATACACTACAAATAAAACTTGAATTATGTACACTAAAGTTTTTTGTTTGGGATTTCTATTTGGCTTGAAGTTTTCAACATATTTGAGCCTAAAATTATATTAATGATTAAAAATTGGGTTTAGAAAATAAATATCCAATATAAATAAATAAATAACTAAAAGTAATTATATTTAATTTGGTTCGGTTTGGTTTCCAAACCACTAAAACAGAAACCAAACCAAAACATTTTAGTTCGATTTAGTTTTGTTTAATTCAGTTCGGTTTTTTGGTTTCGGTGCAGTGTTTAGGTTGGTTTTTTCAGTTTTTGAATTTTTTTAAACCACCCCTGAAAATTACCACTAAGGACATATATATTAATCAATTATATTTTGCGAGTCATATATTTAAGAAAACAAAAATATCAAACATAAAAAGGAAAAACCAATAACAAAAACCCCATCCCACAACGAGAAGTCCACCCACATGCGTCCCTCACGGCAGAGCCAAATCGACGACGTCAAAACTCTATCGCTTCATTTCTCTCCCTCTCTTCATCGCCTCCTCTTTCTCCCTCTCTTTTCTCTTTTTCTCTCTCCCAGTCTCTATTTTCCTCGTAAATATGTGCCATTTAGGTATGCATCCGATGGTCTTAGCTTCTTAGGGATGTGGGGTTCTGCTACTGGGGTTTTTGGGTGTGATGTAGGTTGGAGAGGGTTTTTTTTTTTTTGGTCAGCCGATAAATTTTGTTAGATTAGTCCCCAACAGAAATTAAACTTACACTATTATGTAATAGTTCAACTCATTTTCACTTTTAAAAAGTGGTCATGAGACCTGGTTTTTGGGATAAGAGGGTCTTGTGGGTTGGTGGCATCGGATGGGTTCTCTAATAAAAATAAATCAACTTTTAATATTTTTATATATATTCCAATATTTAGAGGAATTGATCGAAGGACACTTTAGTAATATTGTGGGTAGAAAAACAATATTTTTTATGTTTTAAGTTTATATGTGAGGTGAGTATAACATGAGTGAAAAAATAGAGTAGCGAGATGAGTAATAGGAAGAGTTTATCAACAGTAAAAAGATTACTAAATACGCAATAAGTCTTGTAATCTCATTCATAAAACATGAAAGTCCACATTGAAAAATGTCCAATCAAATCTCTAAAACCTAG